AACAGTAACCCAGGTATCAGCCAAAATGAACACAGAGTCAAAAATGGGCAACACAGATGTATTTCCCACATACAGTCGAGAATGATGTCGGAGAGTAAAAACTGTCAGTTAGCTGGCTCTCCGGAAAATGATGAAGATCGGGGAAACGCATTCTTTCAGTTTGACCGTAGTCCCCCGAGTGCACTGGGAACACCCAAACAACGCTCGAGGAAAGGAATACCGTGCAAGCGCCTTCGAGAGAATACCGTAAAATGTACGAAGGAAGGAAGTAGATTAGCAGTGAATAGGAAAGATTGTGGAATGGATGACTTACCATGGAAGAGATTATCAAAAGAGGAACCTCATGCCTACCCAATTCAAACTGACAAATTTGAATTCAGAGAAAGAGGTATGGTTTACGCTTATAAATAAGATAAAAAGCAAGTTGTACAAAAGAGCCCTTTAAAAATGAACTTGTGTCAGGGAGGGGAGAGTAACAAAGCCGGATTACCTATCAAGAGAAGGAAAAAGCATTTTGTTAAAGTGATGTGAGACTCGTCAGTAATTGGCAGTGCGTGGGAAACGGTCAACTTACAATTAATAAAAAGGCCATGTTTTCTTCTTAGGTGACCTCGATGAACTACCAATGAGTCTGAAAAACCATGATATATTGGGGAGGAATGTGCCGGAAATTGGAGACACAATCCCTGTTGAAGATAACAAACTTAAAAGCAGGAACGCAAAGACCCTTAGTTCTGGTCGATATGTAACTGCCAAAAGTGAAACGAAAGATGAAATCAAGTTCGGAGATAAATGGATTAATAATGAAAACAATAGACGCTCGATACTCACTAATGGGACAAGTCATCACCAGTCGTATGAAGATCATGGATACTTCTTGTATAGTAGCGGCGAAGCCATGGTGGAGCCCGGAATGGCACGGCAGAGCGGCAAAGAAATTTCATTGCACTCACCCGTGCACAAAATATTGGATTCTGGTGAGATATCGAGGTGCCCAAGTCACTTTAGATCGGTAAGTTAGAACTATGTGGGAGTCGAACTCTTATACGCGCTGCATCATGAGAAGCGGATCAGAAAGACGTGCTAGCCAGTGTGCTCGCAAGATGCGTCATGCTCTTTGCTGGCGTCTCTCGTGCTCGTGTCATCATCGTCCGTACGACAGCACCCATAAAGGTCTGCTCGAAGGCTAATTTTTGGTTTGTTGGCTCATATTCGCAAAAAAACTTCAACAGATAATCTTAAAGATAACTAGTTTCTCGAAATCAAACTGAGTTCATTGTTGGTTTGGACTAAGCTTATTCAAAGAGAAAAGTGTTACTTTTGTGGTAGAAAGAGATGACGATAGGTTAACTGAATATTTTTCATTTTAAATGATCTAGTTTTCCACGGGAAATGGAAAGCAACGATTTATCCCTGGGATAAATTATCACCCATACGTAACGGTTTCTAACGTGCTGCCGAACCTGCCATCATTGCATCGGAGAAATTTTGAAAATGCTTGCAATGATATGCTCCCTGTGCAGTTGAACCACCCTGTCAGAGGACTTCCCTTAGCCAGCGACAGAATAAACACGGATCCAAGGTTTCTGAAAGTGAAAGTGGAGGTGAGAATCTTCAAGCAAGGCAAACAATCCCTTTCTCTAGCTTGTTTAAGTGCAGGACCAGTCACCTACCGTTTGATGCCTTCTTCTTAAGATGATCAAATTTAGACTCGTCAGACTTGGTGGTATACGGTGTGGAGAGGATACGCCAGCTATTGAGGACATTATTAACATTATGAACTCCTGGTTAGAATAATGCCCAAGCGCTGAATATTAATAACCTTTGATCCATAAATTTTGCCGCTTTATGCTAAATGAGCCGGGATAAGCTCAGATACTTTAGAGCAACAAAGGAAGTACAATTTACTATTCTTATATATGAATGATTTAGTTAATTTGGTTTTATCAGCTGTTTCGATACCGTAAATTGGTCACCGTAAAGAGTTCATTAAGCCGAGGCTTCGAGCGTTAGCCATTCGTCAGAGCAAATGAGAAGTTGTGTGTTGTATGTGGTATGTGGTATATATATATATATGTACAGAAAAATGGGGATATGCTATTGGTAGGAACATGATAACGTGAAAAACACAAGAAAAAATTAGTTGAATGAAAAGTGTTCGTTTTTATAACGTGGGGGTTAAGAAAGATTGACGTAGTACAGCAGGAATGGAGACTTCTTACGGGGGGGGGAGGGGGAAAATTAAGTTACTAAATCAATACTGATTATAATGAAAAAAGTGACGATGAAATCAGTTATGATGATAGTAGGGGTTTTGATTTTTCCACGAGCAAAGATTTTTCCAATTTTGGTCAATTTTGTAAAGTGCGCGATGTGAACAAAATATGGAAATAGCATGAAAATCGAGCCCCAACATGAGCGGTTGCCGGGAAAATTCCCTCAGGGGATTCGCCCAGGTTTGAGATTATGACACCTTCCTGATTTACTAACTTTTATTTAAAGATACGTTTTTCTAAATCACTCAGGTGCTTTAAAAGATTTCAGAAAAATTTTTTTCTATGGGAACGATAGGATAAATGTTTGAATTCAGCCTAAAGAAAAGAAAAATCGATTTTTTCGGTCCCTTAACAGGTACACTGGGTGGCTCTTTGTTAAATTTTCCCTTAAGAGCTGCAAATTATGTGAGGCTACTATCAGTTGTAGCAATAAACGTCTACAGAGATTTACAGATGTGTTTTTATTCAGCTTTATTTCACCATTTTAACGGTATAAAATAATAATAATAATAATAATAATACTAATAACGATACTATCGCTACTACTACTACTACTACTACCATTACTAACAATAATTATGAAAATAATAATTTTGCTTTATTTGGCAGAAACAAAAGAGAATTCAAAACGAACAAAATTAGCATATATAAATAATAAAAAAGTCCAACCCATATCGATAACTGCAAAGTTTTGCAATGGATACAAAACTAACCTAGCCGAACCATTTATTCTTAACGTTTGTAATTGAATAACAGAGCAACAAACTCAATCAAAACAATATTTTTTTTGTTGTCTTGAAATAGGAAACCCTCTCTAATACTCTTCCACGGGAAAATGTCCATTCTTCAAGTCCTTCCTCATCAAACCGTGAAGAGGAGGAAAACAAAAAGCATCTCGAGGCACGAAGTTTCAGACCACCGAAAGAAGTCATTTGGAAAGGGAGTAAAACTACGATTTCTTTGTGATTCAATAACAAGTACCAATGTAAACAAGCATAATACACAGTGCAACGAAAGAAATAATCGATGAGTTATTTATTAACTCTATAGGGTTGGATAATGGCTGTAAATATATGACAATCATAAATGTGCACTGCGAATGAAGAAACGAATGTAGAAGCGAGTATAGAACCATGTTGCAAAATGTTGCAAGATATTGGATCAAGTTTGAAAATGGTTAATTATTTTATTATTGCAACATTTTTTTTGATGTTGCAAGATGCTGCACTTGTTTGGCCACGTCCTTCACATCTCACAACCCGATCCAACAGTGTTGGGTTAAACTATTCCACGCGCTTGGCCGGGCCTTTACTCTATCAGCGTCGTTAAAGTTATCTTTTGAATTCCTGTCATAGGTTGGGGCAGCCAGTAGCAGTGTATCGACCTCTTCACGTGACAAGAAGCCACCAGTCATCAGAATCCCAAAGAACACGTCGAATGGCTACTCACACCACCCGCTAAGGCGAAATCAACTTCAGGGGGAAGACACTGGTGGAGGAAGGCCGGGCTCTAATAATCCCTGGGGTAAAGGCTCCTACCAGATCTCATAACGATGGCTCTTGCATCTCGTGTAGAGAAGAAAATGACACTGGACGAGATTTATCGATGGATTACACTAAATATTCCATATTTCAGAAACAAAGGAGACGAGATATCCTCATCCGGATGGAAGGTACAGAACTCACAATTTGACAAATGAAAGAGCTATTCCAACTTTCACATAAATTAAAGCATGTTTTTGCTCAGGAAAACAGAAATAAATTTCATTTAGGCTCGTCATTACATGCAATACCTCAGATTTAGTCGAGTTTTCCTTCTCTAATTTCACAAGGGCTTATCTCTATTCGAGGGTTATCACAAAGCTAAACCCAACTTCGTCGTCCCCATGCAATCACATCTCGCCTCTAATCCCTTCCCCTTGCTTTAACATGTACTTAACGTCATACTTAAGGTACCGCTTGATCAGTTCCTTCATCGCTGTTCTCTGCCAAGTGGTGTTTGGTCTCTTTTGGAAGGGTCACTTATGTCGCTAGGTATTCTGGAATATGTTTCACAATCAAAGGTTGGCTGCCCAGTGTCTGATACTGACTTCCTTACCACATGTGAAACTTTGAACGAAATTCATTGTGCATATTTCAGGCGTGTTCCTCCAGAAGGCCTCTAAAAGCACTTCTTGCTTAAACCCCTGAAATCATTGCTATCCAAACCGTTCTTCTTATTATCTACTAAGTATCTCTGAGTTATGGAGAATCATCTTGAAACCTAAATAGCAGGTCGAAAGCGTAATCATAAACGATGCTATTTCTTTTCAGAATTCAATTCGCCATACATTGTCTGTGAGGCAACGTTTTGTGCGACTGCCCCGTGTCACAAATGGGAGCGTGTCACACAAGAGCTGGTGGACCTTGAGTGATGACTTCCTACGCAAACGATCAGCTGTGCGAACAAGCTCTTTAGAGCCATTACCTTTAGTTGACCCACAGTACAAGGACAGCAAGCAAACACAAACGAAAATGGCTGTTTGTGAATGGTGTTCTCGCCCCTTTACTAGGATGTGAACGCAAAGAGCGGCACCGGAAACTTAATTGTAAATCGTAAATCTATCTGGATCAGGAATTTTAGACCCCTAGTTTATGTTTTCATTACTTCTCGAAATACTGGTCTAGTTCACTTCAAGAAAGTTACCACTCTTACCTACTAAAGTTTCAAACATTTAACTGAAAACTGGGTGTTTAATTCATGGAGGGTTGGTTTGTTCATAGCAATAATCGAGCTCAGTTTGAGATTACATAATCGCTTAATTATATGACCTCTCTGATACATGCTACTCTACTAGAAATAAGCATCTCTTGACCAGCTAGCGCCATTAAATTTGCACAATACTTGCCCCGAAGACCTCGTGGGCTCAGCGGTGAAGATTCCTTGACAACCAAACCAGTGAATGTAATTGTTCCGCACAAGTTTTTCAGTATATTTCCTTAGTTATATTAGTAAAACAGAGTACAAATACTCGGCATGCTCAGCGAAGCATCCGAGATTTTTCAATAACATATAGAATTGAATGTAATTGCTTAAGTGAGTCCTACAGTAGTTGTAGAGTTTTATGAGAAAGACTAACGTAGCAATAATTTGCGGATTAAATGAAAATTCAGTTAAATTGCCCATAATTGATCCAGTCAGTTGCTTTGCTCCCTCGAATCCACGAACCCAGCGGAGCCTCTACGATTCCAATTCCAAAAGGAATACATCTTTATACCTTACCAGTAAAATAGGTTGCGTCTCGTACATCTTGGTTTACTAGTAAGTGTGATGCTAAAGTATCCGCAATAACAATGAGGTAAAAGAGATGTGTTTAGTCGTTTTTTAAATAAGCAATGTTTCAATGAGTCTTCTTGCGTTCTCAAGTCAAATGTTCCTCAAGGGGTTGATGTAAACTGGTATGATCTGAGACAGGGCATGAGAGAAACACAGCGAGGCGTTCCTGCCTCTTGCTCTTTGTAAAATATAATAACACGTGATACTGCACGTGAAGGTTTCTAAAAGGGATTTAAAGTTACAGGCGACTACGTGCGTTTTTTAACTTGATTTTACATGCTTTTTTTCATCCTGAGGGTGTCGTTCATCTCCATTTATCTCAGGAATGGCAAGGTACCATAGTATTGTGAAGTCGTTTCACCGTACAGGCCACGTGACTCTGTAGACTTTCATCCAAGCATTCTACCTCCTTTGAAAGGTAAAATAAGATAATAGCAATCAGTCACTCTATCAATCGCTGTTGTGACTTTGTTAAAATTTGTCATACAGTTGACCGACATCTTACCAGTGTCTCAAGGTCGATGACAGCTATCTGTCCGTCCAACTTGACGGAGATTTGGTCTCCTTTCGTGGTTCTTGTCACAGCATCCTCGCCGTAAGTGCCGCTTAAAAGCCTCATCAGTCTGTTGGATAAAAGGAGAGCCGGTGGCGAGTAAATGAACAAATACTTTGATCACTCAGTGACCTGAATAGTGTGTAGGGTGCTTGTTTGCAAAGAGAGGAAGTTTGGGCGTTGGCGGGGACTTGTCAATTCCAATGAATTAACTTTGACATCTAGACGTAAACTGAGATCCCCTTTCCAGATGCTGATGTTTAGACCAGAGTCCCACCCACTTCTCCCACTCTCTTTCTCCTCGTTCCTTCTCATACATGGACTGAGCGAATGGCCTGCCGAGCCACGAGATCATTGGTAACCTGAGGTTCTAAGGTTTGATTCCTGATTGGAGGCTAAACTCTCTGGCGATAAGTCCAAGATAGTAAGCTCGCCATTAGTAACAGGTCACTTTAAGGTCTGGTTGTCCATTCGTGTGAATTATATAAGGGACTTTGTCCTACCAACTTATGTTACAGTTGGTATCGGTAGTGGTCAGGGCGAGGAAAACAATACCTCTAAGTTAATCTGAGGCTGAAGCGGTGGGGGAATCAACAGTTATCTAATCATTAACATAACGACGTTCAAGTATCCTCAGCTTTTGCAACTGCCTCAGAGTCATTTTAATCAACAAATCTTATTTCGTAGAAACTCAATTCCGGGGACAATCTTAAGACTAAATATACCATTCCTTTCATGGAGATTTCTCCAAGGCAACAAACACAGATTAAATGAGCCTTTTTCAGTGGTCAAAAAAAAAATGGCCCCTTGGTTGGGCGTCCCCAGAATAAAGGTGTATCACTCCAAAGAGAGGACCACCTGTATTTCTAGAAAGGGCAAATCTAAGATAAGGAGAAACGAAAACAGAAACATAAAGACAAACAAAAATACCTTTCTGGAAACTGGCTTATATCTGGCTTCTTAGCACGAGCAGCTGTCGAAACAAAGAGTCAAAGGGAAGTTAGTTGATGATCAATGGAAAATTCGTGACAACATTCAGAGCTATCGACACCAACTGATTAAAATTAGCTTAAAGTAAACTGCGCTCTAACAAAAATGCTGCAATCTGATTGGTTGTGCTATTTGCTACCAACACCACGATAGATCGTGTGTAAAGTGAGTACCCAAACATTGTGTGGTGTTATAAATATGAAATAAAAACATGAGCTTGTACCTGTCGACGAGTATATTTACACTAAAACAATTACATAATACGCTCTCGGTTTCCAGGCGAAATAGGTAGTCTGGGCTTCGCTTTCATCAATTATCATGTGATAGAATATCGAGTTCGTAACCTAATTGTCAAATATGGAAGAGGGCCTAAAAAACAGAGGTCAAACTAAGCCTTTCTTACATAGTCTTACAGCCACCAATTGGAAACAAGGAGTTACATGTGTATCACACAGACACACTGAAGATAGAGGCAAACATGCGTTCAGTACAACAGTCCAAGTCAAATCAGTCACCTTGAACAGCTGTGGGATTAGATTCAACTTGTAAAATCACGGCCAGGACAGCATCGGCGTACATGTCGTTCACAGGGTTTGCTATCCACTAAAAGGAAACAAGACTGTCATCAATCGACAGACCTATAACATCCATGGCAATAGCAAGGAAAACGACAAGAACACAAGAGATGTTGCTCAGCTTTCGCCTAAAGAAACGCTAGGAACACAGCGGGAAGTCTCATCTAAGTTAATATAAAGTCACACCGAGAAGAACAAATAGCACTATTGTGTACCTCCACAACAACGCTTCGTTTCTCCTGAACGATTGTGACAGCTTTAAACACTTTCAGCGCGAGTTTGCCTCCCTGTAATGAGAGTTGTTCCACCTCACCAGCTAAGTTCTCCATGCACTGCAGAAGAAGGGAGAAGGCACCGTGGAAAGCCACAGTTTGTTTCTAGAGGAGAAAAGAAAATACAACTAAAAAAATGGTCAGGGCAAACAGAAAATCTCTTTAGAACGTAAGCAGCGGTCATGCAAATCAATCTTGCTTTGCAAAAGGTGCATTTCTACCATTGCAGTGTTCTTCCACTATTTTTTTGCAAATTCTATGTCGTTTTAATAAAGTAATTTCGTATACCAACAATATTTTCAGCACACTTCTTTGGGAATTATGATGTCAGTACGGTTTGGTTATTTCGATGATCTCGTTCCCAGTTCTCAAGATATAATGCCGAGTCATGTTAATTTTCATACCTGAGTAAGAACACTCGTGGATAGCTCTGTGTAATCTGTAAAAAAAAATAGAAAAAATGAAATCAATGATTGGCAAAGGGAGCCAAGCTACATGTAGAGGAACCATAAATATCGAAACTTATCATATTCTCCTAGGTTAATTAGGGCTCGAAGAAAACGTCTTTTAGTAGTCCAAGGCAAACATTAAGGGCAAAAGGCTAAGGAAAAGTTTTTTTGTCTGGATTTGGTAGATAAGAGGATAACAGCACACGCAAAGTTGTAATATTCTTGAAATTCTGTTTAAATTCTTAGAGATTGAAGAGCGTGCAACTATTTCCTACAATCCACAGGTAGCTGGTGTCAGATTGCTTTCATCTTAAGTTCTTCAACCTAGCTCTTATTCGTCTTTTCTATGCTTGGTACAGGTAAGTCTATGTGCGAGCAGTCATCAAGGTAAAACTAAAGTATTTCCTCTGATCTTCAAGTATGGAAATTACGAACAATGCAATGCAGCGCGATGCAGTGCGGTGCGACGCTTCAAAGCACATTGTCAGCGGACTTACTTTGGAGATCATCTGGTGCAATCAGATGATAATTAAAGCCTCGTTTGATAAGAATTCCCGACAATGGTTTTCCGTGCTCAGGCTTTTCGGCGGCTAAACTTCCCATCACCTGAAAGGGTCGCACGCAGTGTAATATGTCAATTCAAGAAGTGTTCACTATTTCACTCCATATGAGAATAAGACGCGGTCCAAATGTAAATAGGACTTTTAAGCTTTAAAAGTGTTACAGTAAGTGGTCGGAGAAATTCACTCAAGTTTATTCATGCAGTAACACGAAACAATAAATCATGCTTACCTTGGCCATTTTCTCCCCCCGGAAATAGAGCTCTACACTTTGAGTATTAGGGGGGTTATGAACCACCACACTGGCATCCTGTAGATGAAGGTACAAAATAAGAAATAGTCTGAGCACTTTATCTATTGAAAAAGCTAATACTTACAAAACATTGCCCGTGCGTAACTTACTGGATTGTCCTCGTATTCACGAATCAAAGCGGCTTTCAGTCGACCCATTTCGTTCTGTTCACCGTGAACCAGCACCTGAGAAAATATAACAAACTTTTTTGAAGCAATCACAAGACGATTAAGGTTAATTTTATCCAACCAGTGTATTGAAAACCTTGTCCATGATGCGCTCATGCGTTTGGATTCTTAAAATAAGCAGGGACTTGTTCATTTTTTCCAATCTAGAACTGTGTCAAAATATTCATTTGAACTTGAAATTTCAGCTCGTGCCTTTTGGACCACTTAAATACTTACTTTCTGTGCCTATGTATAAGGGGAGTCTTTTTCTTTTCTAAAGTAAGAAGGGTCTACAGGAAACTGAGGCTGAGTTGTTACAACTTGTTTAAATTTCGTGAAACTCTCAACATTTCACTTACAATGTGAGGGGGCTTTAGAATTCGAATGAATTCACTTGTCTGTTCGAAATCCGTGTGAGCTGAGAATGAAATGTAGTCTGCAAATAACAAATCACAGAATCAATTTGTTATTTTTACACTAATGCATGGTCTGAAATTCACTGAAAGGGAATACATTCATTGTTGGGAAACTTCAAATAGACTACATTAAAAGTACCTTGAAAACCAGTCGAAAAAATCAGGAAGAAAAAATATCTCGAGCAACTATATCGCGCCGCGAACAACTCTTACTCTTCTCTCGTGCTCTCCAAACTTTCTGCGTGCATCCATAGCTCGAAACGCACGCTGAGCATTAACGAATTCTTTAAGAGCGCTTATCAATTAACTCTTTAAATGCTAATCTCACAGAACTAGGAATAAACCATTAATTCAGGTGTTCATATCACTGGATGCCGATTGGAATTTTAAAGATTATGGATGTCACTACACACAAGTCTTACATATGATTGGCTGATCGCACTGAGGTACAGTCTATTGCATCTCGGATTTCCTCCGAAAAGCCACTGAAAAGTTCTTTACTACCACGAATCACTTCTATCATGACGGGGAGTAGTCGGAACATCATGTAAAAAATTTTAAAAGTTTACTCTCCATGGAAAAAAAAGTCTGATACTCGAGGCTTCGTTTCTTCGAAGGAAACTCGAACTTTTCTTCAAATAGATAGCTTCATGTACCACAAGAAAATATTCTGAGTATCAGAAACACCAGCACTCACCGACAGAACATTTGCGTGGAATCTTTTGTCCTGTCATGGTCGCTATTTCTTCAGGTTCTGACATCAAAGTCTGGTACAAAATGCAAATACATTAAGAATAAAATAATGACAGAGCTCTCAAAACAAGGTAAAGAGATTATGAGTTCTACGAGTGCATCATCGGATCAGGAGTTGGACGCGATTTAATAAGCAACTTGGCTCACTTCATTCAAGTTTTAAAGCCGTAATCGAGCCGTTAGCAAGAACACTTATTTATTGACAATGGTTCCTTTCCCGCACATTTCCCTTTTCCGTTTGTCCGTCCAGCAGGCCTTTGTTGAACTTAAAATGGCTTCATGTTTCCTATAAACAGTTTGCTTGGTCACATAAAACAGTAGTGTAAAACTGTAAAGGACGTTAACAGAGCACCATACTGAGTAGTTCATTTCATCACAATACCTTGGCTAGTGTCCCCTCTACACAGTAACCAGCTATGATCACACCATTTCGACGATCGGTACACCATTGCTCAAAGAGTTCACGTGACAAGCCACTCTGTGTGCAAAGAAAACCGGTTTGTATTCATGCACAAGAAGTGAATTATAGGGCCGAGGTTTTCTCTCATTGACTCAACGCCCATTTTGTGTGCTGCTGCTACTCCTTGATAAGATTTTAATAGTTTATGCAGCTTAAAAACAGAGAAATCAGCGACAAAGAAAACAAATGAAAATATAAAAAGTTTGCTTATTTTTTCCGTTAAAAACATTCAGCTATGTCTGGATCTTAACTTTTGTTTCAATCACAAACCTGCATCATTCCAGGACTTGCCATTACAACCGAGGGGCCGATATCATCAAACTGATCAATACCCTAGAAAAAACAATCCAACAAAAGAATAAACTAACAAACATGCATGCAAACAGCCAAGAAATCAACAAACAAACAGATGATGAACATGTGCTTTGAGTGTTCTATCGTTACATGGCATTGACATGCACACATGCATACCATCTACAGTACCACCTTACCTTCAGGTTCGATATGTGTTTGAACACAAATGGATTAGAAATGGCGATCTATAAACACAAAAAAGATTTACTTTATTAATCTAGTAAAAAGGAAACGTCCTGATTATATCAGCAAGTATAAAATGAACAACATTTTACCACCATTCAGTTCTTCAATACGACCGTCAAATATGCAGAGTACATAATTGCATTTCAGTGACTTTTTCTAAACCTAAGCCTGGATGGTGAAGCAACAATAATCATCTTACCTGTTTCTTGATTTTCTCATTCATTGCATTGACATATGTTTGGAACACTGCAAATAAAAGCAAATAACGATATGTAAATGTGTAAACCATAACGGCCAATAATTAACCTATACGTTTTTGGATCGAAAAGAAATAGCCTTGGTCATTGTCACTGGGCATGTGTCGGAGGACACTTTCCTATCGATACGGCGACCTCAAGGAGTATGGTTCGCATATGGTTTTCTTTTATCTAACTTGGTCTTGGTGACAGTCTCGGTGTCTTACCTCCACTAACATGCCCCCGTCTTCAACGATCACTTCCTGTCAAAGGCAATTTGTTTTGTCCCGGCGGAAAGTCCTTTCGTTTACTCTTAGTTTTAACCCCTTTTTACAACGGTGTTGCACAATACCCGATAAATAGTTCAGACAGAAAATCTCATACAACTCTCTCTCGTTGTTTAAACAGGGCATAGGATGTTTGCAACATTAAATAATGTTTCGCACATTCTACAAAATGAAACACTCGCTGTAACCTGATCGTCTCTTCATCTGATGATGGGTTTCCTTGGTATCTTATTCAGCGGCATATTTTCTAGACCACATTGAGTGTTCTATGTACCTACATTCTCCTCTTCAAAAAAGTGTCGCATTTCAAGGTTATGCTCTAGGATAAATTGAAGGAGGCCCAGTGCTCTGAAACTGTGAAAACTAACTTCTCACAAACCTCTTTCTTTAACCCTTCAACCGCTAAGAGAGACTGGCTTGTAGTATTTGCTTTTAATCAAATGTAAAAGTCGCGAGAGTAAATGATCACTAATTCACGAAGCTCCTGAATGTTAAACAAATTCTTCTTGTCATTCTACGTTCTAAAATATTGTTAACGCAACATAAACAATTACAAACTTGGCATTCTTCTCTCACCTGACATGCATTTCTTGGCCAGTTGTGAAGCATAGTAGATTGGAACATCGTGAAGCTCAGGATGATTTTGCCAATACTCATCTACAGGAATCCATTTACAAAATAGGATAATTTAGTATTATCAACTCAGTTGATAACGTAAATTGGCCACCGTAAAGTGTTTCAAAGCTAACGTTTCGAGCGTTAGCCCTTCGTCAGAGCGAAGCATTAGCCCTTTGTCACTCGTTCTAACGTCAGCTTTGAAACTCTTTACGATGGCCAATTTTCGTTATCAACTCAGTTTATAATACTAAATTACCCAGTTATACTCTTCTACCGACGCAGCACCAAGAAACGTACCCCCTTTATTCATTTACAAAATACACTTAAGCAGTTATTACTAAATACAAGAAAGTAAGCGTAGTTCCAGTGGCGTTAAAAACGGCATTCTTAGGGTGTTGACATCTGATTATGAAGCATGAGTGTGAATTCTTTGAATGCAAGATTATTAAATTTATAAGACAATTGGCTTTTACCAATTGAGTTGATAATATAAATTGGCCATCGTAAAGATTTTCCAAAGCTGAGTTTCGAGCGCTAGCCCCTCGTCATAGCGATTGACAAAGGGCTGACACTCGAAAGGTCAGCTTTAGAGGGTCTCTTCGGCGGCCAACTTACGTTATCAACTCAATATTTACAACCCAATTGTCTTGTAACGCTCCCAATCCCCCCCCTTCCCCCCCCCCAGCCCTACCGACCCAGCACCACAGTTTATTTAGAAAATTACCCCCTTATTCAGTTGTAACGGTTGACCGTTACAAGTCTTCTTAAAGCATCACTGTTACATCTTTTTTGAGCTGTATTAGCTTAGAAAAGCACATTGAAACTATCAGACAACTGAAACAACTAAAAATCCATACAGAACCGCCGCCCCCCCCCCCCAAAAAAAAAACCCAACCAACAAACAAACAAAACAAAACACTTCCTATAACCGTAAGTCCCTAAAAATTTACTCAGTTGGAATTTTTTTGCATTTTATGGCCAATCATAAAATGGGGTTTAGTCGTAGGGAAATTTACAAAATTATAACAGAGAATTGCAAAGAAAACTGGACCTAACATACCAAGAATGAGAAGCAACTCTTGAGCTCGCCCCAAAGCAAAGACAGGAATCAAGCATCTTCCTCCACGGTTTACTATATCATGGACAGTACCTGAATAGATTCAAAACGATTGACAAAAGGGCCTACTTGTTTCAAATTACATAAAAATAGATCAATACTGTAGTTAAATTCAGTACTTGTACTTTGGTCTGCGATTTCAGCATTCTCTTGAATGATTTATCAAATGAATGAAATGTCATGTAATTAACTAGAGTGTTTAAATGTGAATGTAAGCTGTACTCATATCAAGCTGTTGGATCATCTCTCGATAAGAACTGAAGAGCCTATCAACTAGAATAGTACTGCATTTTATGCAGAGAGACATTGTGACAAATATGTGTCTACCTACACCTGTACATCTCAGGGTACAGAGGAATAAATCAACTACAGGAACAACTTGTTTCTGCTTTTCCTAGAGTCACTGTGTTGTATTCTTTGATGCAAAACTCTCCACCAACTTGGGTGAATAAAATGGATTATGGTGTAGTAGGGTGTATTTTCTTTTGGTATCAGTTTTAAGAACATACTTGTAAATCTGTTCTCTCTGTCTTCTCGCTTCTCATGAATGTGAGTACCATAAGTAGATTCCTAAAGTTGTTATTAGAAAATAATAATTTGTCAAAATAAAGTAGAAAATTAAATACATTTGATCTCACGTTTTTAAAATATTAATACTTTAAGCCATGGCTGTAAAACAAAGAATCTAAATTTCTACAAGTACTCATTTTTGTCACAGAAACCTTGTGCTTCAACCCTGTTACACCCTAACATCAAAATGTAATTCTTCATAGTGTTCCCTATACATTTCCTATGGCACTGAAAAGGAGAATTTGTCTTATAGTCAAGTGCCTCTTGAGTTTGTGATAATTTTCTTTATTCTCATGAACTTAATGTTTGATACAGTGGTGATAATGCTTGGAGATATTAGACACTTATCACTCTTAGGGGTTAAATGTTTAAAGTTTGAAGCCAAAATCATTTTGAAATACACTGCTGGATGCTCCAAATACACAACAAAAATTAATTAACAGACTGATGAGTTTAAATGATTGGTAGCTCACAATTATGAGAACATCAGGAGAAATGCTAGGGATCTCTGCTGCCATCAGATGACGATCTTCTTGTCGAGAGAAATCTCCTGTATAAAGAATCTGGAAAACAACAACAACATCAAAGAATGTTAAAAACATAGCAAACTAGGTGCAAAATTCAATGGATAATTATGAATACAAATGCCAATAATTCATTCTAGAAAGTGCAGTAAGTATTATTAGTAAACAGTGCATTTGAGCCTCTGTGAACTGGCACCCTCAAACAAAGGCCAGCTACCCATGGACATATGAGAGGCCACCTCTTCCTAACAGTAACAGTCATGAATATGTATCCCACTTAAAAATCTAAGAAACTGTGTAGTTTATGCTTAAGTTAAATTTGTCATAACATTTTAACAAATTTTAACAAATTGTAGATGTGAATATAAAGAAAAACTGGCACTTCAAGGACACTTTTTTCAGCCTGTAAGCCTGTGTTCTTGCGCAAAGGATGGCCACTATGGAAATATTCAACAAAAAACTAGTCTTTTAGAGGACTGTCCAAACCTTTACACCAGCAATTTCTATCATGAACATGGCTGCCCCAAGAACATGACCAGCATGGTAACACCAGAACTTAATCCCATTAACTTCTTTTTCCTAAAAGAACAAAAAAAAGAAAAGATGAAGAAATACTACTTTGGATATCATAAGTTACAATTATGTATTGATAAAGCTGTAGATTAAAACAAACCTGATGGAAATGAATGGTTTCAATTTTGTCCATGCTCTTTTCCAGATCTGACTCAGTGTACAGCATGTCTTCTGTTGCAATGTTACTAATTAAAAATAATGAACAGTAATGAAAATGACACATGACAAACTGTTCTTCCCAGGTGCACTGCAATAGTAGTCATTGCAATACATTGAGTCTGAGAATTTGAAGGCTCCAATGAGGTTTCAACATCTATTCCCAGATAGTTGATGGGCACTACACTGTACTACCAACTAAACCATGAAGCCACTTGTTGCATGCCAGTAAATAACTTCTAAGGATAATTTTTTCAGAGATTTCTGAGTGTTTCCAACAAAGAGGGCAAATCTATGATGGGTTTTGCTAAACTAGGCCAGAGGTATCACACTAAGGACAAGTACATCCAGGAGTGAAACTGTCCTGTGTCTGTATAGTTTGTGGAAACAACTATATTTATATTACTTCAATAGAGTTACATATGCAGCTCATAAAAAAAGCCATAGAGCAGGAATGGAAGTCAAAGAGATTTGTCAAGAGCTTACTGGGACTGGCTGATGCAGAGGAGGACAATGTATTTAAAGAGTGTCCTCAAAAGGTGGATGCTCACTTTTGTAACAAACACAACAGGCTGTATAATGTATGAGCTGACACAGGTAGAAACAACTGAAACATAGCTGTTTAAGTAAGTAAGCCTGTCATTGTACCTTTGGTGAAAAATACTCTTGTTGCAGCTGGCTTGGAATAGCAATTAGTAATGTTCTAGTTAATATGTGAAGAAGAATCTCTATCCAAAGGCCTCCTTTGCTTGAAATGTATAATGATACTTACCTAACCTTGACGTAATCTGAAAGAAGCCACCTAAAAAGGAAAGGAAAGAGAAAAACTCAAACTGCTTGCTAGAAAAATTTTTCCCAAGAATTCTGAAAGATTAATTGAAACAGTAAAATGGATGCTATTTTCACTAAAATGGAGGGAAATAGTTAACAATCATTCCATGAGGGCACAAATGGTTATAAGATGGTATATAGCCAACCAGGCTATATTATTTGGAGCCTTTTTTCAGCTCTGCAACAGATGGTGCTTTGCCCTTCCATATAAGGTGATTTGGAATAAGAGCTGATAACTGGAGTTGAGTGAACCAATCAGAACAGTTGAAATACAATAATCAGAGTTGAAAAATTCATAATGGTGGATATTTACCATGCTGAAAAATGGCTTGGTAAATATCCACCACTTTCATGGACACTGAGGCAAATAATGTTTATAAATAATGTATATAATAATAATGAGGCAAATTTTAGTATGTCCTACACAGAAGCCAAAAGTTCTAGCTTTAAGCTTATAAGTTCATTTCTGTCAATATACTGAAAAATGGTTAGAAATTAAACTCTTAAGATATGATCTTGTCTCTTCGGCGGCTTGGAGGTGTAACATACTTGCTAATCACCTGCACACCAGCCACTTGTGTGGTATATCCTAATATGCAATATTCATCTGTGTAATCTTAATCATGCAATGTACCTGTATATTGCTTTGGTTGCATGTGTCATAAACACCTTCCCTTGAATGTTGTCTAAAAAGCAAAGAAAAAAATCCTTTAAAGATTAAACACCATTTAAATAACATGAACTATGAGTAAAAAGCCATTTTAATTGAAGACAACCCTTTAATCCGAGGGAGTGACTCACATCTGATTTCTCCTTACAGCATCACTGATGAATCACATACTAAGGTCACAAGATTTGAAGAAATAATCAGCATCTAAAGATGCCCTTGGCTTTTAAACCAATTCTCCATTGGAAATGTATAGAACAGTGCAGAGAATATGCATACTGATATCAGGGTATTAAGGGTAAACAGATTTCAGGGATAAGTGCTGAAGAAAAATTGTGTAGAGGAGCATTGAGCATTGTGCTGGAGTTCAAACAAGAACAAGGATGACTAAAATCTACTGAACTTTATCACTAAGTTTTCAACATAAAATTAAATGAACAGGTTGTTTCCACACATCACAATGTATCAGAACATTGTGGTGGTTGCTCACCTTTTCCAAAAACCAAGGAAGCGATCCACAATGATCTAGATGAAAGCTGGAAATGGATAACAACAAAATTTCTTGCACATAGGTTCAAAACTGATCTGAATACTTAGAGTACATAAAAAACACACCACAGAATATTGCTAATTAACCCCCTACCCCACTACCTTTTCATGCGTCCACTTTTACATATAATTACAAACAAAAAAAATTATTCTGGTTTGCAAGTATTCCCCCCTCCCCCAGCCCCTGTTTACAGGCCATACCGGTTAATTCTGGCCCTTCCCTTGACCCTTTAATTCCCAGATAAAATTTGCAATTCTCCTTACAGTCAACCATAGAATTCTTACACATTAGTTCAGAGAATTAGTATTGGATCAACTAATTATTCCCAAATTTATATTTTTCTTCATTCTCATCACCTATCTGGTTGATATTGTATTGATATTGTAAGGAGAAATTCTGTCTTGGTCACTCATGGAAGTTAAAGGGTTAAACTTGCACCCCTTCGTTATTGCTCAAATAAAGAAGAAAAGATCAATGTTTAACTGTCTCATATTATTTTTTGGTGTCATCAGGTGCTTGTAGTTTCTATTATTAGCTAATGTATTGAATTATTTACATGATCTCTAGATACAATGTACATGAATACTTTAAGTTTCCCTTCCTCCCACCCACCAAACACGAGAAAAATCCCCCCATTCCAAAAAAAACAGCAAAAAAAACAAAACAAAACAAAAAAACTCTGGACCCTGGTAGTTATGAGTTTGTATAGCACCATCCTCCATCCGATAAATCTCCAGTATCCAGGAGATACCGCAGTATTTTTCACCACTGGATAGCGTTTTATCTGTTAGACAGCATTTTCCCCCCTTTGTACAATATTTCATAGGATCAAGTTTGATGACTAGAATTTAATTGTAGGTATTAAGTATTAAATCAGGTGACTGAGCAAGGGTTTATTTTGGTCAACTACTGTATAAGTTGATGATGATGAGTAAACTTCCGTTGTGACAAATTGGGTTTCTTTAATAACCACTTACTGACTGACAAGGAGAAGATCAATTTCTGCTGTATCAATTTCATCAAGAAAAGGTAGAGACTCCATTCCTGACATTCCAGGATGAATTCCACAGTCCAGCTAAAAGTGGGAAATGTTAAAGAGTTAAAAAAAAGGTTGAGTGATTGGTGCAGTTGCATAAAATCTGTTGTTGCATCTCTTTTTTTGTTGAATTACTCAAAGGTTCCTCTCTTTCAAAACTGTTCGTATTTGTGCCTGCATAACCCTCAATGTCCACAAAAGAAAGTATCATTAACCCTGAGGACTCAGTGAATTGACATACAACAAGGGTAGGAGTTGTTACACAGCTAGAGGTGACAAGAACTGAAAAAATCATCAACCAAGCAATGATACAACACTACATTGTTAGGACAGGTCAAGACAGAAGAGTCAATAATTAAACCAAGTGCTTCTTCCAACTGGAGCTTATCTCAGCATGAAGTAACTAAAAGTATCATTGCTCCCTCCTGATGAGATGCTAGTCCATCACAAAGTTCCCCCCTTGCATTTCGTCAGGCTTCCCTGACTATATGCCTATACCCAGTCCTACTCCTGGGTAGAACAAGGCACTGTAAGAGTAAGGTATTTTGCTCATAAAACACTACACAATGACCCAGCCAGGTTTTAAACTCAGACCTCTTGGCACAGAGTCCAGTCTATGAATCATTAGGCTATTGGGTTTCCCATAGTCACGGCAAAAAATGTAAGATTTTGAATCTTGCCAGTGAAAGGGTTCAGTACCCTGTAATACTAACCATCACTTTCTTTCCTTTGAATTCCAGGATGTGACATGACCGACCAACTTCTTGCCCAGCTCCCCTAGGTAAACATACCGGAAAATAATTCAATTTAAGACCTACGCCTAAAGTCTGAGAAGCCATCTCCGTCTCAGCAAACCATTTTAATAACAATGATGGCGTACACAGAAATAATATTTTGTACCGTTAATCGACTGCTCATTTATTTACAGCGACACGTCCACCGGGATATCTGAGGTCACTGGTGAAAAAGGCCTACTAAATTGCGAAAATGCACGGTCAAATATGTCGAAAACGTCCGAAATCGATTGCGATAGGTTACTAAAGAGTTTTTGTGGTCAGTACACGTGCAGACGCACGTTCTAATGCAGTTTACAACCAGCAACAGATCGGTATCCATCAAACACAAATGCGTTGACTTATTTACATAGTCACTTCAAGATTTGAGGTAAAAAGCAACTTACAGTGGCGTTATTCTGAGCAAATCACTTTCTTCTGGCGGCACAATAGATTCCGGTTTTCTCTTCACTGCCGCCGCCATTTTGAAACCGACAGCTAGAGTCCGCGATCAGCGCAAACTTTGTGTGGTGTAAAAATCATGCAATGTATCAAAATAGTTTTTTCCATCGGCCACTGTAAGGATTTTTAAGAGCTGACATTTCCAGTATCCTTCGAAACGAGAGAAATTTACACTTTCACCTCAGTCAATAAACCACATTATCTTGTAACCCCTCCCCTCCCTGAAGTAGAACCACTGTTAATACCCCCTCTATTTCTTTATGATCTTTAGACGTGATAATAGGCACGCACAGCGTGCTTACTGATGACACGAGATTATAAACTGTTTATAATCTCTTGGGGAAACGGGCAGGTGTCAAAATTGTTAATACAATGGAAAAAAATTGCAATAATTGACCTTTTCATCTTTAAAAAAATGTTTCAGGCCAACAAAGGGAAACACGATCGGTTGGTTATCTTCAAATAGTAGTCCTTCCACTGTCTTCTACCTGGATCTATAACTCGTTTTATTTCGTGTCGTTCAAAAGCTATGTTACGTTATATGGTTGCTACAGCTGCAAGTTCAGCGGTAAATTGAACCCACATAGAAGAAACTATTTTTTGTTTTTCATTTTGGAGCACAAAGACTCAGTTTTGAGTTGTAGAAAAATGACTTCTACATTTATTTCACGCGCTGAACGAACTATGATATGATTTTAGGTGAAAAGAAACCGATTTTATAAGAAGGAAACCGCAAAGATAAGAAAGGCACAGCGGTGACCGGGAGAGCTGGTCGTAGTAGGGGCGAACTTGTTGAGGGCGAACTTGCAATGAGGCGAAACCTTTATAACCCATAAAAAAAAATATGAAAGCTCAGGCTGAGGAATACGTTTATATCCTCGATCTTTATCAATAGCCTAACACCTACAGCTCCTAGCTTCTAAGAGGGTTATATATTTAAGCATATATATCCACCACATTGATACAAGAAAAATCTAACCATTCTCAAGAACAAGAAGTTACTTCATGTTCTAGGTTCGCCACAAACGATTATCCCTTAAACATAAATTGAGTTTATCATCTTATTTCTCCTTACAGTATCACTCATTAATTGAAAAATAAGTTTTCGAGAATAAAGGAAATGATCAGCAACCAAAAAAGCTTTTGATTTGTTAAACACGCAATTATCCTTGTCTGTACCATAAAAATGCAAAGAGAATAGTAAGGAGAATGTACATTTTAATGTCAGAATGTGAAGGATATATGAAGGGTATTTTGGTTGGGAGTGTGCTTAGCGTGTTACGAACATTTAAATGAATTCCAACCGCCACGTTCCTTGACCTGCGGTTCTTAAAAAATTCTGAAAAATTAGAGTGATTATCTATCCTCTAAAGCTAATATTTTCCTATCTTCAAGAGCTAGGAAAATAAGCGGAGCTTACAAATGCAAGCCGATTCAGATCTTTTTATGGAGTACTTAGACAGACATATGAAATTGTATATAAATCATTTAATCATAACCATTACAATTTCCTCAAATGTGATCGGTGCATCAGCTGCTTTATATTTCACTTATCACTGTGTACAGTTGTAATCGGGCAGTGTAATCGAACTCCTGTAATCGGACAGTTAAAGCAGCCAATCATACCATGCAGCTAAACCACCAATCACAGAATTGATCATAATAACCATAGCAACAATCACTTAGCCTGGAAACTGGGAGATATCAAAATTTTTTGCTTTAGACATTGTCCCAACTGGAGATGTTTGTCCTAAATGTTTTTTTTTTCCGGAAATTGTAATGGTTATGATTGATTAATAGTAGGACTTCGTGGCTTGCAATTCTGTCAGTAATCATACTCGCGATTGACAAATCGGACTCCCGCTTCGTGGTCGTCCGATTTTGTTTATCACTCGTATGATTACTGACAGAATAGGACGACACGAAGTCCTGTTACCATCATCAATCTTTATAACAGAAGACTAAGGAGAGACATTTTCTATAATCTTATCGCAACAAAACTCTTCTGCAAGAAGTTTACATTGCACAAAATTGTGACACAAGGCATCGTACAAAACTTCGTAAGAGGCATTCAAGCCTTCTTTTTGTTTCCAAGCCAGTAACATTTCAAAAGCTTTGTCTGCCAGCTTCCTATTGCCGTGATCAAAGTTAATTATTGCGGCTTCGTCGAATCCCAGGCGTCTTCCTAATTTCTTCCAATTTTCTCCAAGTTTTAGAGACAGCCCTTCCAACTCCTCTTCTGGTGGTCCACCAGCCTTGACCGGAGCTGAGGATAAGTAATGGTAATAGGACTGAGTGGAGTTCAACTCGGACTGTAATCATACGAGTGATGACAAAATCGGACGAACGCGCAGCGGGAGTCCGATTTGTTTATCACGAGTATGATTTCAGACCGAATTGAATGCCATGAAGTCTTACTACTACTTAATCGGACAATTTGCATTAAAAAAGACTCACAAAGGAGGCTTAAATTGTTCAATGTCGCTCTGTTTTCATGGTGATTGAGTCTCTCTTCTCGATTTCAGTATAATGTAATAAGAATAACTTTTGCTGAATTCGATGCTGCTTTAAGGAAATGAATTAAAGACGAAAATCAAACAAAGCGTTGACAAAGAGTTAATAGGCGTTACTGTTGAGTTCAATTAGTGAACATGGGAATTTCCCTATAATTCCCTTTAGATTTATCATCTACGGAATTAACAAGATTTTTTTGGTAAAATACCTTGAGTAGCACGCGTTCACTACTACTGGATCGTGTGGATCGCCGTCCTCTTCGATTTGAAGGTTCCTGCGGTGCACCTTGTACAAAAGAATCTCCTGAAAGACGAGAATGGATTAGATTAACTCTCTAACCACCTTCATTGTTCCTACTTTTCTTCCTCCCCTCCCCCTTTCCTTGCTACTTCTCCCCCTACGATTCCACTGCCCTTCTCTCTGTCCTCCTCCACTCCTTCTTATTTTCTTCCCTCCTTCCATTCATCCCTTTGTCCTTGTCTCCAATCTTCCTCCACCCTCCCAACCTTCCTCCTTCTCTTACTCTCTCCCTTCATCCATCCCATACCTCCCTCTCCTCCTTTCAATTTCTCGTTTTTCTCTTACTCCTCTCCTCTCTCTCTTCGTCCTTCTCTTTCCTCCTCCTCCCCTCTCGCTACCCGGCATCATTTGCAATTTATACTCTGGTTAAAGAATTGTGCTTTTTAGCCATGATAGTTGCTACTATGGGCCACCAACACAAAATATTTGGACAAATTTTGAAATTAATTTGTTCCAGGCTACTTAACAAAACTCTTGAGCAGGCATTTTCTTACAACAGTGTACTTAAAAATTAAACATTATTACCTGCTGTCGCTTTGTTTCTTTTAGGGTCTGAACCGGAAGGAGAAGATGACGACCGTCGTCTCTTTCGAGGAGAACCATCTTCAGCATCCGAATTGTCTGTATAAAATGACAAGAAATCGTACCTACAGTTAAACATATTGCATTTCGTGAAACACAAGATAATTAAAAGGCTCAAAAAGGCCACTTTCAGTTATCCTCTTAACTAGAAGAGATCAAAGGAGCACCAAAGTATGGGTTCATTGTCGGAGAAGAGTTAAACCGCATCTTTTATGCATAAAAACTGACAAAAACCGTCTCTGTACCAATAGGTTGGCTCCTGCACAGGCAGCCCAAGCGTACTGTGTGTGTGATTTTGGGGTTTAAAGGTGATTAACAGGAATATCTAATATCTATCAACCCAACTTCTCACAAAGCTACGACTATCAAGACATTGACAAGACGAGCGCAACTTGTTTGCAACACACCGGACAGTTTATCTGACGAAAACAAGTACCTTGACCGTGTTTTTGACAAAAACAACTACAACACTGACTTCATTAGACGAAACACTCATAGGGCGACGGAAACTACAGAAACTAACAGGGAATCCACATCTATCACGACTACAGCTTCTATACCCTACATCAAAGGCACTTCTGATGCTATCGCGCGGATCCTACAACCTTACAACATTGGCGTAGCTCACAGGCCTATTACTACTTTACGACATTTGCAGACCAACGTTAAAGACAAAGACGAACCCAACAACAGACAGGAAGCGATTTATAAGATCGAATCCTCCGACTGCCAGGCCTCCTACATTGGTGAGACTGGTAGAAACCTTAACACGCTACTAACTGAACACAAACGAGCAACTAGAAATGGCGATGTAAACAATCACATTTCTGAACATCACCGACAAACTAATCACAGAATCGACTGGGACTCTGCTATATGCTTAACCTACAGTACAAACTATTTTCAGCGACTAACTCTGGAAAGCTGGTTGACTAACTTAGAACAGAAGCCTCTCAACAAATTTCAACAGTTACCAGCACCTTACAAACGACTCATTAACGACGTGAACAAACCGACAAACAGACCGACAAACAACAGACGGATCGAAACCGACCAATGACTGTTAACAAACTCTACACGAGTCTTCCAGCCAATCACATCACGGCTAAACAGACCAATCACGTTCAACAGACCAGAATTTATAACATCATCGACTGAAAACTACTCTTCACTTGACTCTGAAGATGACTACCGCACAGATAGTCGAAACGTCAGTCACCAACAACAGTTCTTTTCAGAACTACACTCACCCGGACGATCACACTACACGAACTACTGATACTCCTGGTTTCAAACCATTTACTTTAATATCTAATAAATTAAATGAAACTCAAGCGTGTCCTATAAAAAAATGATAATGATAATAAACGTGCAAATGACAGTAGAAGCTATAAAATAGTGCACAACACGCAGTACTAAGAATTTCGACTAATAGCGTTAAAATGGCCGGAAGCGACAAAGCGGCCACGGAATAAAGGTAAGGAGACTTTTTGTATATTTTTAAATTTTTTTATCATCATTCTTTTTTTTACGGCACACACTAACGCTTACAAAATCAATCTTAATTTATCAGGTATTCCTGTTAATGATATTTAAACCCCAAAATCACACATAGTGCGCTTGGGCTGTCTGTGGCTCCTGTTATTTATTGTGTAATTTTTCATATATCCATCAGTTAAATTAATTCTTTAATATTTATTCAATGAACCTTAGACCTCGCAAGCGGTGATTGTTAGGAATGATCTTAAAACTTTTTATTTCCTTTTATTCTGTTTGTTTTGATGTATACTGGTTTCTTTGCTCTCAGGACTGGCAGTGTCTAGTTCACGCCACTTAGGAGCAGCTCGTCATGAGAATCGGTTGCCACTGTAAATCACATCATGCAACTTTCGTCTGCGCGACATCGTTAAACAGCGTTTTTATACAGCAAATCCTAGTCATACTGACGATAACTTGCTTGTGGATTTTTTTTTTAATGTAGAGTTCCCTTGATAAAAGTATCTACTTTTTCAACCAACTGCATAATTACCTTCGAAGTGAGGCCAGGACTCAAAAATACCAGAATCTTTTAGAATGTGTGCAACGAGAGAGGCCGCCATAACACTGGCAAATAGTCTCCAATGATCAGTTTCAGATTTTTTTCCATCGGCGAAGTTTGACACGCCCTTAATGACAATCCATTCAATGTTGAGATCATGGGCGGCTGCGTAAAGACCTTAAAGAAAAGCATTGGTTTATAAGAGATACTGAATAGACGCCGGGTTTTCACTTTGCCTTTTTAAATAAGTAAATGGATAAGTATATCAGTAAATATTAGCAAAGATATGATCCTTGCAGTTTTGTTACGATTAAAGAAATTACATATTATTTTAAATCAGTTAGAAAGAGAGACACTGGCAGACAGTTATCAGAGAGACTCATGGAAGGACAGATAGAAACAGCGAAATAGTTGTCATACAAGGTAATGGGGAGCATGCAAGGAAGAAATAAAGAGAGCGAAAAATGAGTAAAATATCAAACAGACAACAAACGAAAGGCATCAGAGTTGTAATCTTCGTTGTTCTAGCTTTAATTTGTTTTGATGTTTGTATTGTGGATTTTACTTCTCCTGCAACTTCCGTTCAACTGTATCCGATATTCCATCACTTGGACATAATTTATTTCGTTCGCAGGTGCCAAGCTCAATGAGAATCGATTGTTATGGTTATGAATGTAAGTTGGGCTAAAATTTTAGTGTAACTTGCCACTTTTTATTGATTTTGAGGACAAGGCAGTCAAAAATACTTCTTACAGTGATTATCCATCAACATTCCAGAAAAAAATTGATTTACAAAATAAAAATGAAATGGTGGTGAAACTTAACTTGATTCAGCAGCTGTATGTATCCTGGCATGTGTAACAGATAGAAAAAGAGACCAACAGACATTAAAGACAGAAAGACAGAAAGAAAGACGGACGGCCAAACAGGACCCCGTACAGATATAAATAGTCTGAAATACGTACTTTTACTTTTCATTTATTACCTTCCCCTTCCATCTCAATTGCTGTTGCTTCTGGAAATCGTTTCATCAGTGCAGCAAGTCGTTTTGGGTCGTTAATCACCTCAGGCCCACTCAGAAATACGCCATTCGTGCTTGGTTTCACCTTCAGATCGGTTGAGTTCTTCACGGGTGGTTTCCATCCATCTCCAATGTGTCTGGCAATACCTGATAGACCCTTATTTAAAGGAACTCTGACACCTTGCTCCTCGATCCTATCTTCCTCTTGTTTTATGAAGGCGTAGGTTATTAACTTTGAGCACACGACCACATCACCTAGCTTTGCTTTCTCCTTGTTCAAACTAGCACAGAAACCCACATTAAACACAGCTTTGGGCTTCAAGATGCGGACCGCTTTCGGGACAACAACCAGGGAACCACCGGGAGCGGCACCACCCATATTGCATTTCATCACTGCAACCTTCACTTTCTCGTTGTCAAGGATACTTCCAAAGTATACAAAGCCAAGGGTTTTGCGATAACTTTTCACAAAATCTTCTTTGAGAAAGGAAAGACAGCTTCGGAATTCGCAGTCATTTACCGTCAGCAAAAGAAAATGGACCGGCAGAAAGTTGTTTTGGACGTTTTTCCAAGGCTCTGAGTGCTGCGGGAGATTTTCAACCTCTGGCACTTTAACATCTACCTCTGGTGGTTTTCTTTTGCTTGTTGCTTGACTCGTGCTTTCAGTGATGGTAGCGTCCGCCATGTTCAACAGGTTCCTGGGAATAATTATGTGATCAATAATATGGTTATGATATTCAGTACTCAGAGTCAATGCTGATCAGCCTTTGGCTGTCTGATTCTAAAATATCTTAGAAATACAGTCACCTATTTGGTTTATGTAGCATAAAATCGATTGTGATAAAATGATATGCCAAATTATTTGGAAAATGTTTAGATATTATTATTGACATGAGTTAACTAGCTAGCTGGACAGGAACTTAGTGATGGATAACTAATCAAAGAAAATAATGACTGTAAGATATATGAAAATCATATATGTGCACTGCGGTGAAAAAACGAATATAAGAGATCCTCGCAGCTATGAACACTACTGAACTAGTAGCTGAAATAAGACCTGAGAAAAAAAATTAAATAATTAAAGCAAAGTCAATATGAGTTAAAGGAGGGTTTTTTTTTTCCAGTGTTTCTACAACTGAAGTAATGTTTAGAGAGGAAATTCTCTGAAGTTTTGAAGAGAATTATCCTGCTATTCTGGTAAAGGCTCAATCAAACCGGAAGAGCAAATTAGCACTTCAGTGGTATATTATTGTTACTGGATATTAACCGATAGTTCTACCCTTCAACATGGCGGGCTTTATTGTAACATGTCGCTCAAGGAATCTGTTGAGTTTTCAAAGAAGCGATATGAAGCTTTGATCTAGACATATACTTGTCTCAGGTTACTTCGCCAGGATACTTGATATCTATAAGGATCGTAAAACTATCCTGCTTTTAGTTAATATGACAACGTTAATAAACACCTTGCTAAAGCTTCATCGTCGCATGTAAGTGATCATGAATTGTGGGACAGTTAGGAACAACAGTGACAATGCGAGGTAGTGTTCAATCGATCTCAGAGCTATGTTTCACCGGTCATTTAAGCTCCTGTTTCATTACATTTCGATAAGGCTCCAGAAATAACAAGAGGATTCCAGCTGAAAAAAGGACATATATCAATGCAAGAGACATTTAATGGGAATGGTGTCCAATAACTTCACAAATTGGGAGAAGCATTTCTATTCATGGTCAGTTAGCCCTAATTGGGCCATCTCACCCATTTTCATGGACCGTTTTCGATCTTGCGTTAGGTAGAATTCTGTGCCTGAGGGATTGCCATAATGAATGGTCCTCTCAAAAACAAACTCGGCTAGAAATTACAAAGGCGAATTGTAACGTAAGGTTGTCTAGAGGTTGTGAGCCTCTCATTGTGAATATGAAAGCGATCTTCGCAGTAATGAACACTGCTTGGGCAGTAGTGAAAATAAGGCCTGAAAAAAATTCAGACGTGTACGGGATTTGAGCCCATGACCTCTGCGATACCAGAGCAGTGCTTGCTCAAGTGGTGTTCATTAATACGAAGATCGCTCATATTCACGTCTTTATCCGCAGTTCAAGTATATGACTTTCATATATTCACAGACGTTTAAGCCTCTCATTGGTCGTAACCATTTGCTTCACCATGCCTTTTGTTCAGCTGCAGTATGAAGCAACATTTTCTCATGATCAGTTAGAGCTGCTTCCTATTCTGTCAGCGAGATTACTCTGCCAGGATTTAAGAAAAAAAGCTCAGTTCATTCATAACTAGAACCGACCATTTAAACATAGAGAAGTCCACCGAATGGTTCACCATAGAGGCCGTTAAAACATGGATTTCCATCGAAAACTATTGGGAGAATATCAAGTAAGTATTTGAGAAGTATTATTTGTACTTAACTCGACATGCTTTTGTTTAAAAAAAAAAAGCCTGCATGGTTACCAACACTGGTTAGTCCCAGATATCTTTGAGAGCTCATTCTCTCAGCTAGCACGCATGTCAGAGAGTGTCAGAGGTTTTAACGAAAGAAGGGACGGAGAGTTTTACACAGCTACTTATTGTAGCGATTTAACTTTTTGCAAACAAGAGTCAAGTTGCGGACATCCGATTCCCTCGTGATCATAATTTACGTGGCTTGCTTCGTTACGGGGACTATCCACTCGGCCTCATCCTAGGCAAGTATGCATAAGTAATCCGATACTCATACTTTTATGTGATCGAGGTATATGTCAGTTTGGAGAAAAGTATTTTCCTGAGAGATTCGTACCTTTAAACACTGATTGATTCTTTCATTGATTGATTGATTGATTGATTGATTTTCAAATGATCAATTTCTTCTTTCCTCTGCTCCACGCTACTGTGATCAGAGTATATGCCAGTAAGGAGTACGGCTTTAGCTAAAGAATCTTAACTTTAAAGCATTGATTGAGCATTTTACAGTACATTTAGATGCAATGTTTCTAGTTATTTATTTTTCCCTTGCCCTACACCACTGTGGGGAAGGAATGAGACACTAAGGAGTTAAGCTTTCAGCTGAGCAATCTATACTGTTAGGCATTATCTGATCATTTTACAGTGTACATACGACTGCTTTTAAGGATTAATTTTCCCCTTGCTCTATACTTCTGTGATCAGGGTATATGTTAGTTAGGATTAAAACTATTGGCTGAGGAATCTTCAATGTTACTCATTAATTGATTAATCCAAGTAAATTGTGGGAGCAGTAGTTCTTCTTATCATTTTTTCCCCTGCACCACACTATTGTGATAAAGGTATTTACCAATTAGGAGTGAAGATTATTGGATGAGGAATCCTTGTTGTTTAGCACTGATTGATAATTTTACAGTACGTATAGGTGCAATGCTTCAAATGACTAATTTCTTCTCATGTTCTACACTACTGTGATCAAAGTAGATGGGGTAAGGAATAAAATTCTTTGCGGAGGAATCCTTTCTGTTAGGCATTGATTGATCATTCTACACTATGTATAGGTGATTATTTTTCCCCTAGCTCTACACCACTGATATCAAAGTAATTGCCATTCAAGAGTGAAGATTTTTTTTGCAGACAAAATCCTTTCTTAGGCAATGATTGAATATTTACAGTACATGTAGGTGCAATGCATCTTTTGATTATTTTTTTCTTTGGTCTGCACTAACGTGATCAAGGTATATGCCAGTAAGTATTGAAGCCTTATTTACTGATGAATCCTGGCTGTTATGCTCAGATTGATCGTTTTTAACAGCACACGTATGTGCAATGCTTCTGATGATAAATTTTTCTATTACGTTAAATTACATATGATCAAGGTATATGCCTACCAGGGTGAAGATTTTAGCTGAGGAATCCTTAATTTTAGGCATTTATTGATCGTTTTGAAGTACTGTAGGTTCACTGCTTCTTATGCTTAAATTTTTTTCTCTCGCTTTTCACTGCTGTGGTCAAGGTAGGTGCCAGGTAGAAGTAAAGATGTTTGCTTAGGAATCCTTACTGTTATAGGTATAGTCGCTTCACTCACTCGTTACACTCGAAGATAAAATTCGTATCACCGCGTGGCCATGTAATATGCTCTACCTCTGCTCTACACTACTGTGATGAAGATACAGCCAGTAAGGAGTAAAGCTTTTGGCTGAGGAATCCTTACTGTCAGGAAGTGATAATCATTTTACAGTTTAAGTGGGTGCAGTGCATCTCGTGATTTTTTTCACTTTGCTCCATACTCTTGTGATCAACGTATATGCCGGTTAGGAGTGAAACTTTTAGCTGAGGAATCCTTGCTGTAAGGCATTGATCAGTCACTGTACATTAAGGTGCAGTGCATCTTATGATTATTTGTTTCCTTTGCTCTGCACTTAATTGTGATCAAGGGATAAGTCAGTTAGTAGTGCAGCTTTTTTTCACTCATGGATTGTTACTGTTAGGCTCAGATTGATCATTTTACAGTACATGGATGTGCAATGCTTAATAATAAATTTTTTTCTCTATAAAAAAATATACCACCTCCAAGTTAAGCTTTTAGCTGAGGAATCCTAACTGGTAGGCATTGATTGATCATTTTACTGGACATTATGTGCATTGCCTTTAGTGATTACCTTTTTCCATTACTCAAAACTACCATAATCAAGGTAATTTCCAATTAGGAGGGAAGCTTTTTGTTGAGGAATCCCATGTGTTAGGCATTGATTAATCATTAACAGGGCATGTTGGTGCAGTGCATCTACTGATTAGTCTTTTCTTGCCATACACTTCTGTGTTCAAGGGATTTACCAGTTGGGATTATGAAGCTTTTTGCTGATGAATCCTTACTGTTAAGCACTGATTAAATATTTAGATTACATTTAGGTACTTTGCTTTCATTTGTTAAATTTTCCCTTTTGCTCTACAGTACTGTGATCAAGGTATATGCCAAGGAGTGAAGCTTTTTGAGCTGAGTAATCCTTTTCTTAGGCATTGATTGATTATTTAACAGTACATGTAGGTGCAATTCTTTTAATGATTAACTTTCCCCCCTGCTCTACACTACTGTGATCAAGGTGTATGCCAGTTAGGATTGAAGCCTTTTTTAGCTGAGGAATCCTTTCTGTCAGACATTGATTGATTATTTGACAGTACATGTAGGTGCAATTCTTTTAATGATTAACTTTTCCCCTCGCTCTGCACTACTGCGATCAAGATGTATGCCAGTTAGGATTGAAGCCTTTTTTAGCTGAGGAATCCTTTCTGGCAGACATTGATTGATTATTTGACAGTACATGTAGGTGCAATTCTTTTAATGATTAATTTTCCCCTTGCTCTACACTACTGTGATCAAGATGTATGCCAGTTAGGATTGAAGCCTTTTTTAGCTGAGGAATCCTTTCTGTATTGATTGATTATTTAACAGTACATGTAGGTGCAATTCTTTTAATGATTAATTTTTCCCCTAACTCTACACTACTGTGATCAAGGTGTATGCCAGTTAGGATTGAAGCTTAATCATTTTACAGTTTTCGTAGGTGCAGGGCTTCTAATTGATAACTTTTTACCGGATCTTTCATCTTTGGAGCGCTCTCACTAATTGCATTTAGGAAGTAACTTAAATTGAAGTTGAATTCTCCCTTGAATATGTTTTTCTCGGGCCACACAATCTGTTTGCCTGTAAAAAATGCAGCTGAACTGGATTTTACAGTGGTTATGTTTTTCATATACAAATGTGAAATGGAAGGACATAACCCTGATTTTACAGAAGCACTCCCTAAAGTTTCAATACAACATTGAAAAAGTTGGCATCTGACTTTACTCAAAGGGGAAAATTCTTACGTAAGTGGAAACTGAAGAAAAAACTATTATGTCAGTAAAGTATGTCACGTATGTAACGTAGAGATCTAAGTATAGCTTTATTATGTCTTACATGTAAGTGTATACTGTAAGCAATATTTTGGTAGGAAAAAATAAGGTGATGCACGATACATGTATATTCCACGTCAAAGGAACAATACTATTTTTTTTTCATTTGGACAGCAACTATTGTACTTAATTTTGAAAAATTGTACTTATAATTTGTTTTGTCAACACCTTATGGATAAAAAAAGGTGTGTATATATTTGTATTTATTTAAAAAACGGGTGTATATATAGATGTATGTGTTTATTTGTTACATCAACTAAAATACAGCAACCCATTGTTTGTTTAAAGAAATAAATCAAATTGCAGGAAAATGAAAAAACAACTTTTGCAACTTTCTACAAACAAGTTCACTGCGGGATCAAAAAAACATTTGTACATACTAAACAATCCTAAATAGAAATTGAATTTTGTGATTTCAAAATGGATGTAATGAAGTGGTAATTGAACTTCATGTTGTGCAATTTTGGTCTGAAACCTCACGTGAGAACTCAACTCAAACTTGCGCTGCATACGAAGCCATTCAACTACATGGTACAGATATGAAATTGCTGAAGTGGGGCCTATTTACATCATATAACAACCAGTTTAGTTTTTTTTTCAGAGGCTGTTTTACATAGTTCTTCAAAACAGCTCCTGTCATGAGCATCATTCCAGTCCTTATGATGCCCATTTAGCCATTTATCTACGTTATTTTGTAACATAAGTTTACTTAAATTGGCCACAAAATAGCAATCAATTTTATTCTCTCTAAAGAAAGAATTGACTCCCAAAACAATCGTGCTAAAACAACCCTTTTCTACAAGGGACAAATTAGAGACCAAAAAATAGAACTGTATTTCAATCACCGAAACAGCCCTACTTTGGTAGCTAAAACAGAACTTCTCCAGTTACAGCGTTATTCTTAATAATCGAGCACGAGGGCCGTACGGAGGATTATTGACCCGAAGTCGTGGCAGTAAGGACAGAGCGCAGCGAGGTGCATACAAAATCGAACGAGTGCAAACTGAATATTACCCAGTACGGTTCAAGAAAGCAAGCATATAGTATGTAGTTTATTATGTGGCACTCGGGCCAAACTTGTTTATTTTGAGCCAGCTTTGGTGAACAAAAATGAACGCCTTTTGACCGTCTCCGTGGAAACAGTTCTTATGGCAAAATACAGACCAAGTAAGAACCAATCACAACGTTTGGATTTGCCTCAGGGCTATCTTGCCACACAACAAGTTGAGTCGCAAAATGATAAAGCTGAAGCGATGATACTTAACTACTCACTTGACAGTAAATGTTATGATGACCTTGGATAACTATTCAAATCCACACTGCTCGACGAAATGACAAAATTTTGGTCAACTGAAATTTCAAGTCAACTAAATATGTTGCCGTTACGTTTCCTCTAGGCTGCATGAAATATGAACAAATAGTAATATGTCTTAAAATCCTTTCAGAAAAAGAGACCAGAACTACTACAATTATGAAAAGTTACATTTATAATAATAACTTGAAGCCCTAGGGGCAATGCAAGTGTTACCAAAACAAATCGCAAGATTAACTTATCTCACTTCTGTAGCGAGAACCGAAGAACGATTGTACGACTGTACGAAAACAAAAGTTTTGATGTCTACCTCACAAATTCATAACCTTTCAACAGAGAGAGACAGAGCAAATCGATAAACTTGCCTTCATGACTAAAACAGATATTCATAGGGTAAACCAGAGATCATATATTTGATCTTTCAAGATTCTTAGAATCGAAGCACAACTAACAAATCAATTCTCACAGCCTGAATTTCTATTGCTTACCGTTCAAATCATCCAGGTGTTGTTTGCATTTAAAAAAGTGGGAAGAAGTGGTTGTAAACCATGAACTCAGTGAAAAATTCGCGCTCTTGCATGTCCCTCCACGACAAAATTATCACTCAGGATTGAGTAGAATCGCCGCTTTGCTTCAGTGCAAATCACATCGAGTGAGTAATGCTCTCGCCTAGACTAAAAATTACTTCCTCTTAGCGAAACACATATTGAAGCTGGCATATCTGAAAGGATCTTCTGAGATTCTTACAATCGAAGCACGGATAGCTGCATGGTAAATCGAACTGATCCTGTATTTTAAAGAAGATTTTAGTCTCCTTTGCTTTAAAATTCATAATAACTTTACCGAACAGTTTTAGCCATTTGTTATCTTCAAGACATCTTAATGCATTTGTTTGCTTCTGGACAAGTATCAGCTATCGCCGTTTTGACTATAGACTTGACTTAAATAAGCGGATCAGTATCTTTTAACTGCAATCATTGCAAATAATCGTCACTTTAACTGGCTCGGAAGGGAATTGATCGAGTAGATGAACTATCGAGGAGTAATGAAAATAACTGACAAAGACAAAGTCATACGGCCATATGCGTGACTTAATTCTCACAGCGTCCAATGTTGTTTAGCTCATTCCTGTGTCGTGTAAAATTAAAACAAATGCATTGAGGAGTTTTTAATCTACGGCCTTCGCTCTTGGACGTTTATCTATGCTAAAGTTAGTCATCTGAAATTGACAATAACCCGCTTTGTCTTGGTTCAAATCATAGCGAAGGAATAATGCTTGGCGCTTCCGCTTTCGTCTACAGTCAAAATATACGACTTTCTTTACTCACCTTCACTTTCTCTTTAAAATGAAAATGTCTGTACTTGACTCTGTGAACAAGACCGTGAAGACACACGATATTACTTCGTAGGTAGTTCGTGAATCGACGGAACTACTCGAAAAGTTAACACTTCTCAGACAGTTTCGTTTCAGATTTGCAAATGTCAGAGAATAATTAATCAGATTCTTTAATCATGCAATCATGGCTAAGGTCATTCTGAAGTAGATTCATAGCGGTTTTATGTTACTTTCTCCGATGGATTAAAGTTGTTAATTTGTAGATATATATTAATTTCCCGTTTGTTTCATAACTTGATGATTCTTTTGCATTCAGGGGATGGGATTCTGTGGGTTTCATAAATAATTTTTTAGTACAATGGCTAAGGGAAATAAGCATGAAAACGAGGCCGGAGGAAGCTTTTAATTTGAGCGCTCTCTACTTGCATAGATACAATAAGGTATATTTTTCCTTGTTGACCCTGTCAAGATATTTATGCTTAGCTGTAAAGCTGACCGGTTTTTGAAGCCAGTCGGACAGGCTGCATTCTACTCTTAAGAAATGACGGTGCTCGTCACGAAGGAAAAGGGATTTAGAAAGTTTGAGCGCTGAGAAAGCACGACTGCATTTGATATAACGTTAGTAGGGTAGATATCACCTGAAAACGGTTGTTAAGACAAAATAAATTTGTAAAAATTTCCAAAAGACCGAGAGTGTTTCAAATTAACGAATGTCGAGACCGCCTTAATTTAATTAGATGTAATCTTACATAGGAATCCTCTCCTTGCCGAGGGGGAAGGAATTTATGGCTGTGGCAATAAACACATAGAAAGACCTGACTGAAAAATTGCATAATATTGTTAAATAACTCAATCACGAAGAAGGTATTTTTTTCAAATGGAAAGAAACACCTTACTAGTGTTGAAGGGGTGGCTTGGGGTGGGTAGGGGAGGGGGGGGGGAAGGGGATGGAGGAAGAAACAAGCGGGAGTTGTTACTAGTCCCCCGTTTCTTTTTGTATCTCTTATAATGTTTGGTTTTGTTTATTTGCTTTTTGTTTTCATAACTTATCGCTTCTCGTGTGGCACTATGAAAGCAGGGTTTTATTTTCAGCCGGAATTTATTATTTTTTTCAGAGCTTATCCTAATCAAGTCAGTCATTCTTAGGTTAAGTAAGCAGCTGGTCCTTATTTATCGCTTGTGGGGTCCCCTTGGTTTGGATTCACTCTGTAGCAGATAAGCATACACTTAAAAGAAATTCATCCTTTATAATGGTCGCCTCAATTTTTTTTTTACAGCGAAGAAGTCCTGGAAAGGCAGAGAACTCTTTAATGTAAACACGCAGTGTCCACTCAACATGGATTTGTGTTGTTGTATGTTAAAGAGCTATTATTAATATTGTTTTGATTACATTATTAGGGGGAGGTAATGAAGTAAAATCGCATTTATAGTACGAGCAATCTCATTAGAATTATCATCAATGTTAATTGAGGGCAGTGATTTTCTAGGCGAGTTATAATTCGTAAAATAAACTTCTTGAAATAATTACGGACTCTAAACGTACTTCGTAGAAAGAAGTTTTCGAAACTGTGAACGAGTTGATAACTTCTATTGTAAGTTTAATGTGTCCTCATGAGGCCTATATATTTGTGAACAATCTCCATCATTTACCCTCGACAGAAGTGTAAAAATAGGAATAATTGATACAGTAAACACGACATATAATGCAACGAAAGTAAAAACAATGTTTAACCAAGAAATCTAAACATGAGATTCCATGTCATGATCCATTTGGCATAAATCCTTAAAAATAAAATGGGAAAAACTGGTCTATAAATGCCATCACTTTTGAAAGAGTAACTCATTATTAAAGCAAATGGACTAATTGTGGACAACTGTCAATCCTTTTGTCCTTATAGCAAAAAATATATTCGCATTACGAACTAAAAGTCATTTAATTCTGTAATTGACGGCAAATTTTGTCCGCCAGATCCTTACGGGCTACAAAGGGATGACATAGGGCGTCATGTAAGACAAGGTAGGTTGCTTTTGTAGGTTGCTTTTCACCCTCTCTTCTTTTCCAATAAAGCAACATTTGATATGGCTTTTCGGTGTATTCTTCATGATTTTTGTGAAATTCGACCAGCTCTGCTTCCGCAATATTTAAACGTCTTCCAAGTCGCTTCCAGCCCTCAGCGATGTTTTTCGAAATTGCATATAATTCTTCCTCAGTGGGCGTGCCATTCTTGACTGAATATTGAAAAAGTGCAGTTAGTGTTTATAGGATGTTTTTAATAAAGTAATTCTTGTTCTAATTAATAAATGGATGATTGGTCAACGTCAATCTTCCTCTCAGAGAAGTATTCCTCGAACTCTTGAGAGGAATGCAATGCATCACTTTGGACTAATTTTTTCAAAACTGTCATGATTCTCTTCAATTGATAATCTTTGGCTAGACATTTCAGCTTTTTGATCTGGCCAAATATACCAAACATTCTCTTTTCCCAACCTGTTAATGTTTTCTCGAGAAAGAAAAAAAAAAAAAAAAAAAAAGAAAACAAAGCAGTTGCGACGTTTGGGGTAGTTTTCCTCCAAGTTTTATGGCAAACAACATATACAGGAGGGCGCACGGTCGGACAGACGGAGAATTGGAAGGACAGACAGAAGGAAAAACGTTCGCACGGACGATTGCCTTACGTTTCTTCTTGCTTTTCTTTTAATGTTTGATTTTGTTTTTTTGCTTTAAATGTTTTCATAATCAATCGCTTCTCGTGTGGTACTAAAATGTCCTGGAGAGGCAGAGAGCTCGTTATTGTTAACTCGAATTAAAGCCTCGAATTAACCAGCATGGATTTGTGTTGTTGTATGTCAAAGAGCTATTATTGTTTTGACTATATTAGTACAAAGAGGTAATGAAATAAAATCGTGACTATATTGTGACCGAAAGTAGAGCTCGTCATAAGAATTACCACCAATATCAATTGAAGTCAGGGGATTTCTACGAGAGCTTTAATTCGTAAAAAAAAATTGCTCTTGACAGAATTACGAACTCTATACTTACTCCATAGAAAGAAGTTGTCTAAACTGTAAAACAAGTTGATCACTTTATTCGAGTTTTGAGGTGTCTACCTCAGTTAGATGTATTCGTGAACAATTTCGATCATTCGCTAATGAATACTATAAAAGCAGGAATAATTAATACAACATATATAATTAATCAGAGGGCGCCTGTGGCTAACTCGCGGATAAAGTATTAAAGAGATATATACATGTAAAGTTGCTATCATTGAACTAAGGTGTTAAAAAAAGGTAGAAAGTAGAATCATTGCAAGTATAGAAATTATCGTACTTGAATATGTGATGGAAACTCCCCGGGGGGCGGGGTACATGGGTCACTTTTTGCTGGGTATGTACAGCTGGCTTCTCAGAACCACTACCGCAATTTAGCCTATGTTGTGGCCAATTATAGACCCCATCTTTGTACGCTTTTGGGCAAGACCGGAATGGAATGGGAGCCGTTTATTAAATATTAAAATACGGTAACAACTTTTTTACCATGAATCTTCCTGTTTATGAATCCTTACTTGCCATAATTTTCTTACGTCCAAAATCTAACAAATGTGTAACTCCATTCTAGAAAATCTATTGAAAATATCTGAAAATGCAATGCCATAAAAGTCAATGCAATCGTGAAAGTGTGAGCAGCGGCACATTGTTAGCCTATCTCTTGGAATTTCAACCCTCACCCAACCCCCTCTCCCCTTCTCTGAATTAATATTTGAGTGTAGAAATGGCGAAGAATGATGAAGCAAAATAGAGCACACATTTACTCCAGGTTGACAATAACCACCGTGATTGCAGCATTCCCACGTGCGTGAATTACTTGTAACTTATGGGAAATACACGCATGTTACACCGAAAAACCCACATGTAGCAGAAGAGGCCGATTACTCGCGATTTCTCGTAGTTTTTAATTTCCCTTTTGTTTTTCAGTACACGGATATGCTTACGAATGCGATAGAAATTAAATGGAGAAGCATTCCTTGAAATAGGAAGTCGTCATGTGTTTTGAGCAAAAAAGATCGTTAAGCGATCAAAACAACACCGGCAGATAATGGCCACGTGCTCGGAAACGGCTTGTAGAAATCTATCATATTTCATTCTTACCATCAAGGGTGCGTTCCTTTGGGAGGATCCGGATAAAGATTTGAGATCCAAGATTCCACAGATCACGGTGCATAAAAGAAACGGAGTTTTAGACGAACTCTCAGAGAATTCCAAAAAGTGTGCTATTTAAGATTTGTGTAAGCACGTGGGTACTTGAGCTCTTCCCTGAATGGCTCGTCTAATTGCACGGGCTTTAAGCGCCCACAATTGATCTAATTAGCACTATTCATTAGAAGCACATTTTTTCATGGTAAACTCAAATAATGGAATTAAGACAGAAGCATGGATTGATTACGATATGGACACTTGGGAACCCTAAATGCCTGCAGTCAGTGGCCGATTGATTTAACATTACAAAATCGATTTTATTTCGTGTCTATCGCAGAATTTGTGGAGTGATTGCCAACAATCTTTCCGGTCAATATATGAAGTACCCACTTGTTGCAAATTGAGCACCGCCGGGCAAAATTATTAATTTCGGATCCTTCGCTCAAAGGAATGTGGTGGATGAATGATCCAATGATCCGTCTTCAGATCACGCAGATCATTGATCCGATGAATCCTTGTCCAGAGTGGATTTGATAGATCACTGATCTGAAAATGGATTTGCTCGTTAGGGAACGCCACAGATCAGAAATCCTGATCCGGATTCTTCAAAGGAACGCACCCCAAAACAGTCACGTTTGCATAAAAAAAAAAAAACAAAACAAAACGAAACGACCAAACGAAAAGACCGAAATTCAACGGCTTGCTTTGTAACTCACAAACTCTTCGTAATTCTTGCTGCTCCTCGTTACGTTTAGCGCATGGACGATTCGTAGACCCTTCAAATTTGGTATTTATGTTGATCATAGCACTAATCTGAAACATTCGAAATCCATTTCAATTTGGGAAATGTCGAAACAGCTGTGTAAAGACAATAAACATCGCAACGATCGATGCAATCACGATGGCGCCAGGACTTCGGACTTCTTCGGAAGGATAGATCTCGAGTTTGAAGACGACTAATTACGAATAATTACGAAGAGTCCACGCAATTTGCATATCTCAAAGTGCCCACAACAACTCGTTTCTACGCTATCGTTTATCCACGAGTTAAAAATGAAACAAAAGTGAAAAATAACGTTTGATTAAAAAGACGAAATATGAGATTCCAGCTAGTGACTAGCTTTAAGCTTTCAAAACAAGTAAATGGATCATGTTTGGACAACTGTTAATCCTTCATGTCCTTATTTCACAAACTTATTCGCTACAGTAGCTAAAAGTCACTTAATTCTCTCAAGCAAAGTTTTTCCCGCCAGATCCTAACGGGTTATCTAGGATGACACAGAGTGTCATATAAGACAAAGTAAGTCGCGTTCGAAACCTCTTTCCTTATCCAGTGAAGCAATATTTATATGCCTTCTAAGTACACTCATCTATTCTGACCTCTTCATTTGCGAAGGGCCCGAAAACCGTCTTGAATAAGAAGGTCATAAACTACGTTTCCTAGCTAGCAGTCTCTCGTCTGAAGTACCGTAATAAGGGTTTTTTTTCTTCAAATGCGATACAATTGTTATGGAATGAATCAATGGGGAATGAATTAAACGGAATAAAGTAAGCCTTTCGTACTGAGGCATTTTTGCAAAATAAAGTTCAACCTAGGAGTGTCCATTTTCTCTTAAATTTAACGTCAACAGAGTAAACAGGGTACTAAGATGAAATACCTTTATAAGTAGTCGGCGCTTTATCACCGGGTCGTATGGATCGCGGTTCCCCTTGATTTGAAGGTTCGGGCTGTGCATCCTCTGCGTAAGATTCTCCTAAAAGACGTGAGTGAATTAGAGTTACTCTCTGCCCACCTCCACTGTTCTTTCCCTCCCTCCTTTCCTTCCTTCATCTCCTTTGTCCTTCCTTCCTTCCTTCTGTCAAATTGTTTCTCCTTGCCTCCCTTCTGTCCTCTAATCACCCTTTCCCGTTTTCCTCCCTCCGTTCCTCTGCCCTCTCAGCCTTCTCTCCGTAGTTCCTCCCTCCCCAACCCCCCAGCCCCCCTTGTCCTCTCCTCTTCCATTTAACAGTACCTTCACTCCCCTCAACTTTTCCTTTTCTTTCTCTTTCCCTCCTTCCTCTCTGCTTTCTTTTTCCTTTCTTCTCTCGTTCTCTTCCTCTCTCCCTTCCTCCTTCTCCCTACCCATTTCTCTCCCTCCCCTCTTTTTCTCTCTTCCTCTCCCCATCCATCCCATATCTCCCTCTCCTCCCTTCAATTTCTCCTTTCCTCTCTTTCTTCGTCCTTCTCTTTCTTCCTCCCTCCCTTCTCGCTACCCGGAATCACTTGCATTTCATACTCTGGTTAAAGACATGCACTTTTCAGCCATGCAACTCGCTAATATGGGCCACGAACACAAAATATTTCGACAAAGGTTGAAATTAATTTGTTCCTTGCTACTTAACAAAACTCTTGAGCAGGCATTTTCTTACAACATGGTACTTAAAAATTAAACATTATTACCTGCTGTCGCTTTGTTTCTTTTAGGGTCTGAACCGGAAGGAGAAGATGACGACCGTCGTTTCTTTCGAGGAAAACCATCCTCAGCATCCGAATTGTCTGTATAAAATGACAAGAAATCGTACCTACAGTTAACCAGATTGCACTTCTTATTTCACTGGATAATTAAGAGGTTGAAAAAGACCACTTTCAGTTATCTTCTTGACTAAAATAGATCAAAAGAGCACCAAAGTATGGGTTCACTGTCTTTTATGCATAAAAACTAACCAAAACTGTCTTTGTACAAATAGGTTGTACAAGTAGGGTGATAAACAGGTATGTCAAATAAATTAAATGAAACTTATGCGTGTGCCCTAAAAAAGAAAACAAATAAAAATAATAATGATTATTTAAAATGATAATAGAAGCAATAAAACAGTGCACAACACGCAGTACAAAGAAATTAGACAAAATAGCGTTAAAACGGCCGGAAGCGACGAGGCGGCTATCATTTAATTCTTCATGTATCCATCGTTTAAATTATTACTTTAATATTTATTCAATGAACCTTAGACCTCGCAAGCGGTGATTGTTAAGAATGATCTTAAAACCTTTTTGTTTCCTTTTATTCTCTTTGTTTTGATGTTCATCTGTTTCTTTGCTCTTTTTTTGCAGGACCGGCAGTGTTTTCTTCACGCCTCTTGGGGTTGCTCGTTTTGAGAATCGGTTGCCATTATAAATCATATCATGCAACTTTTGTCTGCGCCTACGCTAGAAAGTTTACATCGTTTAATAGCGTTTTTATACAGCAAATCCGAGTCACGCTGATTATAACTTGCGTTTTAATTTTTATTTTTTTGAATACAGAATTCCCTCGATACAAGTATCTACTTTTTCAACCAACTGAACACTTACCTTCGAAGTGAGGCCAGAACTCAAAAACTCTAGAATCTTTTAGAGTGTGTGAAACTAGAGACGCTGCCATAACACTGGCAAATGGTCTCCAAAGATCAGTTTCAGATTTGTTCCCATCGGCGAAGTCTGACACGCCCTTAATGACAATCCACTCAATGTCGAGATCATGGGCAGCTACGAAAAGACCTAGAAGAAAAGCATTTTTTGGCCTATAAGAGACACTGAATAGACCCCGGGGTTTTAAATTGCCTTTTTAAAAAATTAAATGAGACTCACGAAAGGACAGATAGAAACAGCGAGACACAGACAAATAGAAACGACTAGGTCAAATAGAGAGACACATAAACAGCAAGAAACGCAGACATACAGAGAGACCTCAAGGGATGGATATGAAAAGTTGTTTCACAAAGTGATGGAGAGCAAGTAAAGAAGAAATGAAGAGAGCGAAAACGAAGTAAAATATAAAAAACAACAACAAAAAAAAAAGGCACAAGAGTTTTAATTTTCATTGTTCTTGTTTTTGTTTTTGATATTTTTAATGTGGATTTTACTCCTCCTGCAACTGCCGTTTAACTGTAGCTGATATTCCGCCACTTAGACATGTTTCGTTCCAAGCTCAGGGAGAATCGATTGTTATGATTATGAATGTAAGTTGGGCTAATTTTGATGTAACTTGCAATTTTTATTCATCTTTGGGGGCAAGGCGGTCAAAAATACTACTTACAGTTATTATCCATCAACAATCCAGCATAAAATTTAAAAAATAAAAATGAAATGATGATAGAACTTAACTTAATTCAGCAGCTAAATGTATCCTAGCATGTGTAACAGACAAAAAAAGGGGCCAACAGACATTAGAGGCAGAAAGCCAGAAGGAAAGACAGATGGCCAAACAGGACCCTTCACAGATATAAATAATCATAAATACGTAGTTTTACTTTTCATTAATTACCTTCCCCTTCCATCTCAATTGCTGTTGCTTCTGGATATCGTTTGATCAGTGCATCACGTCTTTTTCTGTCGTTAATCACCTCAGGCCCACTCAGAAATACGCCATCTCTGCGTGGTTTCACCTTCTGACCGGTTGAGTACTTCACTGGTGGTTTCCATCCATCTCCAATGTGTCTGGCAAGAGCTGCCAAATCCCTATTTAAAGGAACTTTAACACCTCGCTCCTGGATCATATCTCCCTCTCGTTTTATGAAGGCGTAGGTAATTAACTTTGAGCACACGACCACATCACCTAGCTCTGCTTTCTTCTCGTTTAAACTAGCACAGAAACCCACACTAAACACAGCTTTCGGTCTTAAGATGCGGACTGCCTTTGGGACAACAATCAGGGGACCACCGGGAGTGGCACCACCCATATTGCATTTCATCACTGCAACCTTCACTTCCTCGTGCTTGTTGTCACGGACATTTCCAAAGTATACAATGCCAAGGGGTTTGCAATTACTCTTCACGAAACCTTTTTTGAGAAAGGAAAGACAACTTAGAAATTCGCAGTCCTTTACCGTCAACAGAAGAAAATGGACCGGTAGAAAGTCTCTTTGGATGTTTTCCCACGGCTTTGAGTGGTCCGGGAGATTTTCAATCTCTAGCACTTCAACATCTACCTCTGGTGGTTTTCTTTTGCTTGTTGCTTGATGCGCACTTTCAGCAGTGATAGCGTCCGACATGTTTTACAGGTTCCTGGGAATAATTATGTGATTAATGAGATAGTTATGATATTCAATACTCAAAATCAATGCTGATCAGCCTTTGGCTGTCTGAGTCCTCATTTACGTTAGAAATACAGTCACCTCTTAGGTGTGTTTAGCATAAAATCGACTGTGATAAAATAATAGCAATAGTATGCCAAATTATATCAAAACTGACATGAGCTAACTAGCTAGCTGGATAGAAATTTAGTGATGGATAATGAATCAAAGCAAAGTTAATACGAAGTAGGGGAGGTATTTTTTCCTCAGTGTTATGTATCACCGGTCATTTAAGCTCCTGTTTCATTACATTTCGATAAAGTTACATCGATAACAAGAGGATTCCAGTTGAAAAAGGACAATTATCAATGCAAGAGACATTTAGTGGGAAGGGTGACTTTTTCATTCATGGTCAGTTGGCCCTAATTGGGCTATCTCAGCCACTTTAATAGACCCTTTTCGGTCTTACATCATGTGAAATTCTGTGGTGGATTGCCATGATGAATGGTCTTCTCAAATACAAACTCAGCTAGAAATTGAAAAGATGGTATCCGCCGCTTTCGCCTCCTATCGAGTTCGCGCCTTCGAGTTCACCCCTACCTTATACCGTGTTCGCCCCCGCACTTTTCGAGTTCGATCCAACCAAGTCGAGTTCGCCCCCAGATTGAGTCATGTCTAAATTAGTTGCTATCGAACATTGCAAACAAGTTAGAACCAAGTTTATCTACCGGACATTTCGTGTTCGTTAGATAAACCGAGGTTGGTTTGCATCTTTTCCAGTCTGAATAATAAGTTAAGCAATGTTGTTTTGATTAAGTGTGGTTCTCTTTATCACAAGTTCAATGTATACAGTTATTTCTGGTATTCCCAGATCCCACGCAGAGTATTTAGTTGATTCCGTCAACCCAGTTCCTAAGCAGGTTCCACTCAATTGCCGAAATTCAAAATGGTCTTCGCTGACGTGACATTTGGCACATTCTGCTAGTGCCTTCGTCACAAATCAACTCATCTGGATATCACTCAATCAAGGGGCGAACTCGAACTCGACTTGATGGGGTCGAACTCGAAACGTGTGGGGGCGAACACGGCATAAAGTAGGGGCGAACTCGATAGGGGGCGAACGCGGTGCAATTCGAAAAGACGAATAACCACATAAGGTTGTCCAAGAAAGGTGAACAAAAGCCTCTACGGTTGTAAGCCTCTCATTGATCGTAATCGTTGCAAACAAGAGTCAAATTGTGGACATCCGATCCCCATGTGATCGTAATTTACGTCGCTTGCTTCGGGACAGCGACTATTGACTCGGCCACGATATTATTGGTAAGCTGCATCTTAAGCAAGTATGCATAAGTATTCCCTATACTTATACTTTTATATGATCGAGGTATATGCCAGTTTGGAAAAATTTTGTTCCTGAGAGATTCTTACTTTTTAATATTGATTGATTCTTTCATTGATTGATCGATTCATTTTCAAATGATATATTTCTTCTTTCCCTTGCTCTAAGCTGCTGAGATCAAAGTTTATGCTAGTGAGGAGTGAAACGTTTGGCTAAAGAATCTTCACTGTTAGGCACTGATTGAGCGTTTTACAGTACATTTAGATGCAGAGTTTTTAGTGATTAATTTTTACCTCGCTCTACACCACTATGCTGAAGGTATAACTCTTTAAACCCTAAGAGTGACTAGCATCTAATTTCTCCTTACTATATCACTCCTGAATCAAACACGAAAGTCATGAGAACAGAGGAGATGATCACCAACCAAAGCAGCTCTTGATTGTTAAACAGATTCTCCTTGTCAGCCTCTTTGGAAATGTATGGAGAAAAGTATGGAGATTATGCATACTGATGTTAGGGTGTAAGCAATCCATACTGTTGGGTATTAATTAACCATTTTCCAGTAAACATAGGACTACTTCTTAGGTTTAATTTTCTCCTTCCTCTACACTATTTTGATCAGGGTGTGTGTTAGTTAGGAGTAAAGCTTTTAGCTGAGGATGTTTCGCACCTCAGGTTAGGGTACTACTCGGGTTGAAGACACACCAGGAAAATAAAGTCTACGGAATCTACCAATTGTTTTTTAACTACTTTGATGTCATAATTTCCGATGTTGCGACAGCAAGCTAAGTGTGTAATCAACTGAAAAGAAAGGCATGCATTCCATTGCTTACTTGTGAATCGACTATAAAAGCTTGACGAATCGAATCTAATCGAAAATGAAATGAGCAAACTTGCTTCAACAAATGTGAACATACTTACAATTCTGTAAGGCGTGATTCCATTTATGACACGGCTATTTTTCTATCTTATTTAAAGAAAAGGTATAAACTTTATGAATACTGTTTTCAATGACAGGATTTTTTCTCACTGATCCTTCAATTTCCCTAATCACGCTAGTCCCATGAGCAAGCTGAAATCTGATTGGCTTAATTTTAAGAAAGAATAATAATCTTGTTCGGCTCTATTGCTAACAAAAACAGTAAAGAAAATACCGTGACTCAAAGTTAATCACAGCTGTCAACGGAGTGCAAAACAGTGGAATCTTTACAGTTACTCATTGATTGATCAATCACAGTACATTGTAGGAGCAGTACTTCTTGTGATTATTTTTTTTCCTATGCTCTACACTACTGTGATCAAGGTATCTACCAGTTAGGAGTGAAGATTTTTGGATGAGGAATCCTTGTTGTAAGGCATCGATTGATAATTTTATACCACATGTAGGTACAATGCTTCAAACGCTCAATTGTTTCCCTTGCTCTACTCTGCTGTGATCCAGTTAAATGTCGGCAAGAAATAAATTCTTTCCGGAGGAATCCTTTCGGTTAGGCGTTGATTGATCATTCCACAATATCCATAGATACAATGCTTCTAATGATTATTTTTGTATATGCCAATTAGGAGTGTGATCGAGGTAGGTGCCAGTTAGGAGTGAAGATGGTAGCTGAGGAATCCTTACTGTTAGATATTGATTGATGACTTAAAGCACATGTCCCTTTCTTCAAAGTACTGCGATCAATGAACGTGTAGGAACAATGCATCTAGTGACTAAATTTATCTTCTACTCTACACTATCTTGATCAAGGTATATGTCAGTTAGGAGTAAAGCTTTTAGCTGAGAAATCCTTACTATTATGATGTAATTGATCATTTTACAGCTGAAGTAGGTGCATTGCATCTTATGACAATTTTTTCACTCTGCTCCACACTCTTGTGATCAAAGTATATGCCAGTCAGGTTTTTAGCTGAGGACTCCTAACTGTAAAGCATTGATTGATCAATTGCACTACATGTAGAGGTGCAATACATCTTATGATTATTTGTTTCCTTTGCTCTGCACCATTGTGCTTGAGGTATACGCCAGTTAGTAGTGAAGCTTTTTTTGTTCGCTGATGGATTGTTATTGTTAGGCTTAGATTGATACTTTTATAGTACATGCATGTGCAATGCTTATATTGATTATTATTTTTCTCTTGTTCTATCCCACCATGATTAAGATAAAAACTAGTTCCAAGTTAAGCTTTTAGCTGAGGAATCCTAATCGGCAGGCATTGATTTATCATTCTACTGGACATGTACGTGCAGTGCCTTTAATGATTACATTTTTCCATTACCCAAAACCACCGTAATCAAGGCAATTGCCAATTAGAAGGGAAGCTTTTGCTGAGGAATCCCTACTGTTAGGTATTGATTAATCATTAACTGGGCATGTTGGTGCAGTGCATCTACTGATTAGTCTTTCCTTGCTATGCACTTCTGTGTTCAAGGGATATACCAGTTAGGAGTGAGGCTTTTTGCTGATAAATCCTTACCATTAAGTATTGATTAAATATTTACAATACATTTAGGTGCTATCAGTTTTATTTGTTAATTTTTTCCCTTTGCTCTACAGTACCGTGATCAAGGTATATGCCAAGTCAGGATTGAAGCCTTTTTAGCTGAGGAATCCCTACTGTTAGGTATTGATTAATCATTAACAGGGCATGTTGGTGCAGTGCATCTATTGATTAGTCTTTTCCTTGCCATACACTTCTGTGTTCAAGGGATATACCAGTTAGGAGTGAGGCTTTTTGCTGATAAATCCTTACCATTAAGTATTGATTAAATATTTACAATACATGTAGGTGCTATCAATTTCATTTATTAATTTTTTTCCTTTGTTCTACAGTACTGTGATCAAAGTATATGCCAAGTAAGAATTGAAGCCTTTTTAGGTGAGGAATCCTCTCTTAGACATTGATTAATTATTTAACAATACATGTAGGTGCAATTCTTTTAATGATTGATTTTTCCCTTTGCTCTACACTACTGTGATCAAGGTATATGTCAGTTAAGATTGAAACTTTTTTTAGCTGGGGAATCCTTTCTGTTAGCCATTGATTGATTATATTACAGTATATGTAGGTACAAGGCTTCTAATTATTAATTTTTGGAGCGCTCTAACTAATTGGATTTGGGAAAGTAGTAAAATTAAGGTTGAATTCTCCCTTGAATCTGTTTTCTTTGGCTACACAATCTGTTTGCCTTGTAAAAATGCAACTTAACTGGATTTTTTTAGCGGTTACGTTTTTCATATATAAATGTAAGATGAAAGGACATAACTCCGATTTTACAGACGCACTACCTAAAGTTTCACTATAACATTGAAAAATTGGCATGTCACTTTTGTCATCGGGAGAAAAAAATTTTAAGTGGAAATTGAAGAAAAAACTATTTTGTCAGTAAATTATGTAATACTTGTAACTTACAGATTGAAGTATAGCTTCATTATGTCTTGCATGTAAGTGTATTCCGTCAGTAATCTTTTGGTAATTTATTTTCTGTAACTGATATATCCATAGTGTTCGTGACAAAAGTTTAATAAGGGCAGGAAAAGAGAGGCCATGATGCACGATGCATGTATATTTCAAATCAAAAATACAATGCTTTTTTTTTATTTAGACAGCAACTATTGTACTTTACTTTTGAAAAATTGTAC